ATAATTTATATTTCTTTCTGTTAAGTCTTTCTTTACTAATTTTCAATATTAAGGCTTTAACAGCCATATTTACTGAGATACAGCCAACTCAAATATCAAACTTATCATCGTGTTTTCTCAACATATTACTAAGGAAAATGAGTTGAAAAACATGTAGTAATACTTATAATGAGCTAAATAAAAAATGGGTATTAAAAATAAAGTATTTTAATAATCTTTATTTACTTAGAGATTATTTCGAATGATATTTATATGGGTATATATATGGTACTTATAATGGCATACGTTTGGTACTTATAAAGGCATGTGTATGGTACTTATAATATCATATGTATGGTACTTATAATGGCATATGTATGGTACTTATAAAGACATGATGGTACTTATAATGACATATGTGTGGTACTGATAATAGCATGTGTATGGTATTTATTATGGCATATGTATGGTACTTATAATGGCATATGTATGGTACTTATAATGGCATATGTATGGTATGAAGACATGTACATGGTATTTATAATATAATGGCTTATAATGGCATGTATGGTATTTATAATGACATATGTATGTTACTTATAATGGCATATGTTTGGTACTTATAATGACATATGTATGGTGCTTATAAAGGCATATGTATGGTACTTATAAAGGCATATAGGTCATATGGTGCTTATATAGGCATGTGTATGGTACTTATAATGACATAGGTTTGATACTTATATGGGCATATCTATGGAACTTACATAAGCATATGTATGTTATTTACACGTGAATATATATGGTACTTACATGATCATACGTATGGTACTTATATGGGCATGGGTATGGTACTATATATGGTATGGTACTTATGTGGTCATATGTATACTTATAAGATCATATGTATGGTACTTATAAGGTCATATGTATGGTACTTATAAGGTCATCTGTATGGTACTTATAACGTCATATGTATGGTACTTATAAGGTCATTTGATTGGTACTTACAAGGTCATATGTATGGTACTTATAAGAACATTTGTATGCTACTTATAAGGTCATATGTATGGTACTTATAAGGTCATATGTATGGTTCTTATAAGGTCATATGTATGGTGCTTATAAGGTCATGTATGGTATATATAAGGTCATATGTATGGTACTTATAAGGTCATATGTATGGTACTTATAAGGTCATATGTATGGTACTTTTAAGGTCATAGGTAAGGTACATATAAGGTCATATGTAAGGTACTTATAAGGTCATATGTATGGTACTTATAAGGTCATATGTATTGTACTTATAAGGTCATATGTATGGTACATATGTATGGTAATTATAAGGTCATATGTATGGTACTTATAAGGTCATATGTATGGTACTTATAAGGTCATATGTATGGTACTTATAAGGTCATATGTATGGTACTATATAAGTATGGTACTTCATATGTATTGTACTTATAAGGTCATATGTAAGGTACTTTATAAGGTCATATGTATTGTACTTATAAAGTCATATGTAAGGTACTTATAAGGTCATATGTATGGTACTTATAAGGTCATATGTATGGTACTTATAAGGACTTTTATATAGTACTTAAAGGTCATATGTATTGTACTTATAAGGTCATATGTATGGTACATATAAGGTCATATGTAAGGTACATATAAGGTTATATATATGGTAACCTGCTAACGTTTCCCAACGTCAAGAAAACGGCGACTTTAAAGTGTTCTCTCCTAACCTACCATGAGGACCCAACTCCTAACCTACCAGAGGACGTAAAACAGAAAACGGGACAGTACGTCACTTTCGCCAGCCGCTTCCATTTTCTGCCAAACAGCCCAGTCGACGGGGAAGAATCCCAGCCCGGGCGAAATCTTCATTTTTCTCAAAACTCAAAATCAAAACCAGCCATAGAATCGTTTTGAAAATGTTACCATTGTGTTTACCGCAATAATTTATATTTCTTTCTGTTAAGTCTTTCTTTACTAATTTTCAATATCAAGGCTTTAACAGCCATATTTACTGAGATACAGCCAACTCAAATATCAAACTTATCATCGTGTTTTCTCAACATATTACTAAGGAAAATGAGTTGAAAGACATGTAATTATAACTATAATGAGCTAAATAAAAAATGGGTACTAAAAATAAAGTAATTTTAATAATCTTTATTTACTTAGAGATTATTTTGAATAATATTTATATGGGTATATATTTGGTACTTATAATGGCATACGATTAGTACTTATAAAGGCATGGGTATGGTACTATAATGTCATATGTATGGTACTTATAATGGCATATGTATGGTACTTATAAAGACTTGATGGTACTTATAATGGCATATGTATGGTACTTATAAAGACTTGATGGTACTTATAATGACATATGTATGATACTGATAATGGCATGTGTATGGTACTGATAATGGCATATGTATGGTACTTATAAAGGTATGTTTGGTACTTATAATGGCCTATGCATGGTACTTATAATGACATAAGTATGTTACTTATAATGGCATATGTATGGTATTTATAAAGGCATATGTTTGGTACTTACAATGACATATGGACATATGTAAGATACTTATATACGCATATATATGGTACTTATAATGACATATGTATGTTACTTATAACGACATATGTTTGGTACTTATAATGACAAATGTATGGTGCTTATAAAGGCATATGTATGGTACTTATAACGGCATAGGTATGATACTTATATGGGCATATCTATGGTACTTACATGAGCATATGTATATTACTTACACGTGAATATCTATGGTAATTACATGAGCATATGTATGGTACTTGCATGGGTATGGTACTTATATGGGCATGTGTATGGTACTTATAAGGTCATATGTATGGTACATATAAGGTCATATGTATGGTACTTATAAGGTCATATGTATGGTACCTATAATGTCATATGTATGGTACTTTTAAGGTCATATGTATGCTACTATATTAAGTTATATGTATTGTACTTATTAAGGACATTTCTATGGTACTTATAAGGTCATATATATAGTACTTATAAGGTCATATGTATGGTACTTATAAGGTCATATGCATTAATATTATATAATAATAATAATAATAATAATAATAATAATTTATTATTCATTATTATAATCAGCTGACGACATAAACACAACAACACCGCCCTTCGGTGCGCAAGTCTCCCTCATACACACACCACCGTTTTAGTTGCCGCTTCTGTATCTAGAGCATATGGCAACAAGCCCCTTTGAAACTCTTTATCATCCTCAACATAAACGCGTCTCCCAACAACTGTACTGGTGCAAATGAGCCACAGAGACGTTAGAAAGATTTTTTTCAGTGTCAAAGTAGTAGACAACTGAGATGCATTAGGCAGTGATGTGGTGGAGGCTGACTCCATGCACAGCTTTAAGTGTAGATGTGATAGAGCCCAGTAGGCTCAGGAACCTGTACATTAGTTGATTGACGGTTGACAGGCGGGACCAAAGAGCCAGAGCTCAACCACCGTAAGCACAACTCTGTAAGTACTGGTGAAGTCATCGGGAGGACAAACTCTTCATGCAAACTGCACCTACTATCAAGAAGAAGAAGAAACACAGACCATCCCGGGTGGGCACAGTCGTCGTCGCCCCTAAATCAACAATAACAGACCATCCCTCTCCCACGCAGCCTCGGTATCAATATGCCTTTCTTGAGGCATATAAAACATTTACGATTATTTTCATATTTACGTGAAATAAACATTGTTCTGAGAGAGAGAGTTTTGCTCCGTCGATCGATCTGTGCAGGGTCAGAGCTCGGCGATTATAAAAATACATATATCTTCGCCTTAATTTAAAATATGCCCATGATATGGTTTTTAAAATGACATATTTCTATCTTTCTTGTGACATATAAAACTTTTACGTTTATCAACGTATCTGCATGGAAAAAATTAAAACATCAAAGCAGAAACTTTACATAAAATACAGTCAAACCACACTATTAAAAGAAAAAGCAATATGAAAAATTTATGAGTAATCTTACTTTTAAAAAACACAACAAAACAGTTGTGTTTTCTTGCAGTGTCACAACTGCAAGAAAATGGACAGGTTGGATAACAAGATCCTTCCAAGCAAGAGATGCCACCCCAGTGATGATACTTTTTGAGACATTAGTGCTCCCTAGAGTGGAATATTGTTGCTCACTAATGGCCCCAGTCAAAGCCTGAGATATTGATTACCTGGAGAGCCTGCAAGATTCTTTACCATTAGATTCCACTAAATAAAACGTCTAAATTATTGGGACTGCCTAAAATTTTTAAATCTGTAATCCTTAGAGTGCAGGCTGGAGATATGTATAATTTACACTTGGAAAGTATTAGATGGACTGGTTCCAAATCGTCACACAGAAATTAGACCACATGATAAAGAAAATCTGATAAAGAAAGAGATGTAGGGGTGGTTCTAGATAAAAAAAAACTGTCACCAGAGGCTCACATAAATTACATTGTGCGAGGAGCCTATGCTAGCCTGTTAACTTCAGAATTGGTTTTAAATACATGGATGGAGAAATACTAAAGAAATTGTTCACGACTTTTGTTAAACCAAAGCTGGAATATGCAGCAGTTGTTTGGTGCCCATATCTTAAGAAGCACATCAACAAACTGGAAAAGGTTCAAAGACATGCCATTAAGTGGCTCCCAGAACTGAAGGACTAGAACTACAAGGAAAGGTTAGAGGCATTAAATATGAAAAACTATAAGATAGAAGAAATATAAAATTGTGATCACAACGTACAAAATAGTGACGGGAATCGATAAAATTGATAGGGAAGAATTCCCGAGACCTGGAACTTCAAGAACAAGAGGTCAAAGAGTTAAACTAACTAAACAAAGCAGCCAAAGAAATATAAGAAAATTCACTTTTGCAAACAGTGTGGTAGACGATTGGAACAAGTTAGGTGAGCAGGTGGTGAAGGCCAAAACCGTCAGTAATTTCAAAGCATTATATGACAGAGTGCTGGGAAGATGGGACACCATGAGCGTTGCTCTCATCCTGTAACTACACTTAGGTAATTACATGATACCAGAAGGCATGACGGGATGTGCAAAATATCTCCAATTAAGAGCAGAGGTTCAATGGGCATGCTGAGTGAGATCTAGATCAACATCAAAGGCCCAAGATTTTTCAACACTTTCCCTACATTATGAAGCATAACTGGCCGACCTCTTGCATAGTTCAAAAGAGAACTCGACAAGCACCTTCAAAGGATACCTAATTCATCAGGCTGTTTGATGTGGCTGCTCACAGCCTGATATATGAGTCACAGCCTGGTTAATCAGGCTGTGACTTTAAATATTCTCTAAAAGTAGAAGATACTTTCTTTAAAGGTGCTTGTTGAGTTCTCTTTTGAACACTGAGAGAGGTCAGCCAGTTATGCCCCAGTATGTGTTGGGGAGTGTGCAATAATGTCTTGGGCCTTTAATGTTGCTGTTGAGTTGTATCTCAAGCGTGCCAATTGTACCTCTGCTCTTCAGTAGGGCTATGTTGCATATCCTGCCATGCCTTCTGGTCTTATTTCTATGTGCAGATTTGGAACCAGTCCTTCTAATATTTTTCAAGTGTAGATTATTATGTATCTCTCCTGCCTGTGCTCTACACAATACACATTTAAAAATTTTAGGTGGTCCCAATAATTTAGATGTTTTATTGAGTGGATTCTAGCAGTAAAGGATCTTTGCACATTCTCCAGGTCTGCAATTCTCCAGCTTTGAATGAGGCTGTTAGTGTGCACAAATATTCCACTCTAGAGAGCACTAGTGTCTAAAAAGTATCATTGGTGTGGCATCTCTGTTTGGAAGGTTCTTGTTATCCAACCTGTTATTTTTTTTGCAGTTGTGACGGCAACTTTGTTGTGTTGTTTTACAGTAAGGTTGTCCCACATGATTACTCCTAAATGTTCTAGATTGCTTTTTCTTTCAGTAGTGTGGTTTGACTGTGTTTTATGTGAAATTCTACTTTGATGTTTTCATTTTTTCCATAGTGCAGTACGTAGTTGGAACTTATTAAACATCATGGTATTTTCTGTTGCCCATTGAAAAACTTGATTAACACCAGATTGGAGGTTTGCTGTGTCCTCTATGTTGTCTAGTCTCATGAAAATTCTGGTGTCATCTGCAAATTTTGATACAGTACTATAGTTTGTATCCTTGTCTGTCTGATATTAGGATAAGGAAAAGTACCAAAGGAAATATGGTACCCTGGGGGAACTGAGCTTTTCACAGTGGGGGATTCAGATTTTACTTTGCTGACTACTACACTCTGGGGTCTGTTTGTTAGGAAGTTGGCTTCAAGTTCTCTACAGCTAAGACCTGTGCAGGTATTTATATCTTTCAACCTTTACTCAGAAGCATTCATCCCCCTTTGTCGCTCTATGGTAATCCTCTGCTGTATAAAGAATCTGCTAAACTTTTGGAGTTAATCTTTGACACTTTTGGTTGCCCCATTCAACTTTCTGAGTTGAATACTCCAGAGCCCTTAACATCCCATACTTCCTGGGGAGCTGATAGATGCATGCTCCTCCCTTAGCATTCCTCTCTCATGCTGTCTAAACTCGATTATGGCTGTCCCACTTACTCGTCTGCCTCTTCTTTGACTCTTCATCAGCTTGATACTCTGCACCATTCTGGGTTACGCCTCAGCTCTGGTGCCTTTCATTTGTCTTCTAACCTGAACCTTTATGTTGAAACTGGCATCCTGTCTACAGGATCATCGTAATTGTTACTGTCTTTGCTACCTTGTGCAGTCCCTATAACATCCTCACTCTCGCTTATGTTGTGAAATGCCTTTTCCTTGCATACTATTCTTCACACTCCAGCTCTATTGCTGTCTACACAGATGGGTCTAAGTCTGCCGATGGTGTAGGCTACTCCATTTTCTTTCCTGACCACACCTATATGTGTTGCCTGTTCCCAGAGCATGGCATCTTCATGGCAGAACTTTATGCCATTTTCTATGCTTTTCATCAGTTGATTTCTCACTCAACATTCCTTTGTCATTGAACTCATGTCTCGCAGTGTACTCATGGATCTGAAGTCATTTAATCCTATACATCCTGTGGTAGTTGAAATTTAACATGATTGTCTTAAATCTGCTAGAGATAAGACACAACCAAAATTTTGATGGGTTCCCAGCCATATTGGCATTTCTTTAAATGAACATGAGAATGCTGCCGCTAAGGAGGCTATCCGCACTTGTCCTATTTCTCGCAGAGGTGTTCCTTATTCCAATTTCTACCCAGTCACTCATTCCTCAATCTGTGCCCATTGGCAAGGTGGTTGATCTTCTGTTACTGGTAACAAACTGCATGCTCTTAAGGGTAACCTGCCCCAGTGACCTTCCTCCCACTGTAACTGACAGTGGGAAATAGCTTTGGTATGTATTGACCATATATGTTTGTTTAACTCATGGGCCTTAATGGAGCATCACCCTTTTCCTTGTCTGAACTCCAATGTTCCTCTTACAGTTGTACATCTCCTTGTTGAATGTCCCAATTTTGAGAACGTTCATGTGTAGCTTCCCGACTGTCCTTCGATAGAATCTTTGGTGAATTCAATCCCTTTGATATCGTTCGCCTTATGTCCATTTGTTTTCGTATTGCATCCTTAGTGATATTTAATGTCTTTTGAATATCCTACAACTTTGATAGTGCTACAGTCTCCCCCAGCTTGGTGCCTTCTTTTGATAATTAATTAATTAACACTCCCCTCCCCTCCAATATCAATTGCTGTTTCTACCAGATATGGTCTTGGATACTTTTTTGTCCCAAGTTTCTATTCAAGTAAAAAAAGTTAGGAAAGAAAATCTTTCAGTAATGGAGTAGCACTGTATAAAGTCATGCTAAGGGGAGAACACATGGCAGGCATGCCCAGTCTGCATGGCATGCAGGCATTATTTCACAAAGTAACTTGAGGTTCTATTTGACTTGAATTCATTTGAGTTTCTTGTTGACAGAAATTTCAGTAACTTGAATTTTTCTTGAAGTAACAAAGTCAAGCACTTGAACTTGAATTTATTCAGGTTTCTCATTCCATATGACCCTTTAACCTGAATCCCCCATTCGAGTTAAAAGGTAAAAAAAAACTTGAACGTGAATTTATATGAATTACTCAAAGATTCAATTTACCAAGCTTTTACAGTAGTCTGTTAAACTGAGAAAATGCTCTTTAATCTAAAATGTGTGTTAATAAAAGCAAAATTGTGATAAAATCAAAGTGTGGTACAGTATTTAGGTATTAATGGTATATTCTCGAAAACAGAATTTTGTCTACACCATGACTGAAAACTCCTCCTTTTTTTTGCTTTTCAATTAATTTTGGTTGTGACCTAAATATACTTACCCAAGTAAAAGGCATTTGACAAGTTGCCTCTTTTTCAACTTAAAATGCAACAGTACTTTTAGGACAGTTTAGCAAAGTTTTAAATGTATAATTCAAGCCTTTTTCAATTTCCCTATTCTTTTCTTTTACAGGTCATTGTTACATAAGAAGAATAATGGTTGCATTGTCAACACCCAGTCAAGTATCATAAAGCTCATTTAAATAACATAAATGTGCGTGTCACCAGTGTCATACTATACTGCATCAACACAAGATTTTAAATGCTCATCTCAACATCTTGAGGGCCACCTACAAAATTGTAAATGCTCATCTCAACATCTTGAGTGCTACCTGAACATCTAAAGTAGTCCATAGTAGTGAGTTTACTATGATTATTGTAATATTTTGATGTGCATCAGTGGTCACAAATTTATCAATAAAACAGCTTGTAAACCATGAGCAGTTTGTGGCGAAGAAAAGCCATTCCAATGTTGTGTGCTCAATATTTTTTGTAATAAAATATCTTTGTAACTGCATAATAGAGGAAATGTATCAATATTCAGTGTCCTGAAGACCTAAAAACAAAAATTTCCTTAATAAATTCACATTTGAGGTTGTATGAAAAATGTCAATATTAAAAAGAACTTTTTGCAAACATTATTGTAAAAATATTGTAGTGAAAATTAGTTTTTTAGTAAGTAGAGGAAATTAGAACAGTATGGCTGTTTCATGAATTATTTTTTCTGTTTTAAGTATCATATGTTTTGTGAACAAAATATTAATAAATATTTTAGTACACACATAAAGAGAAACCATATTGATATTTAAAATCTAAAGTAAATTTATATCTATTGTACCCATTAATAGCTTCAGAATTCACTACTTCAGCAACCCAGTCACTGTCTAGTGAAGTAAATGATTTAAAAAACCCTCCAATAATGCTTAGAGTTCATAGAGAAGAAAAACCGTACGAGTGTCTAGTGTGTTCAAAAAACTTCAAGCGAAAAGATTATTTAGTAGCGCACATGAGAAGTCACACACAAGAGAAACGACATCAGTGTTCTGAGTGCATGAAAGACTTTACCACAAAATCAAATCTTGGAAAGCACCTGAGAGTTCATACAGGAGAGAAGCCATTTCAATGTCCAGTGTGTTTAAAAGATTTTTCAAGAAAAGATCATCTAGTAGCACACTTGCGTGTTCATACAGGAGAAAAGCCGTATGAGTGTCCAGAGTGTTTAAAATATTTTAAACGAAAAGATTACCTAGTAGCACACATGAGAATTCATACAGGAGAGAAACCACATCATTGTACTGAGTGCACAAAGGACTTTACCACAAAATCAGATCTTGTAAAGCACATGAAAGTTCATTCAGGAGAGAAGCTATATGAGTGCCCAGACTGTCTAAAAGATTTCTCACGAAAAAATCATTTAGTAGCACACATGCGAATTCATACAGGAGAGAAGCCTCACAAGTGTTCCGAGTGTCTAAAAGAGTTTTCACGAAAAGATCACTTAATAATCCACATGAGAGCTCATTCAGGTGAGAAATCATTTCAATGTTCAGAGTGCCAAAAAGGCTGTATTACAAAATCAGATCTAACAAAACATATAAGGGTTCATACAGGAGAGCAACCATATCAATGTTCTGTGTGTCTGAGAGGCTTTAAAACCAGTTCTAATCTGGTAAAGCATAAGAGAACTCATACAGGATACCATATCATAGTTTGAAGTGCCTAAACCTTAAAATTGATATGCCATATATATACTGTATATATATTTCAGTGGGACTTCACTCTCAAATTTCTGTATAAGCCAAACAGTTCATGTTTAGTGAAGCAAATGTGTGTGTTCTATAAGGATTGTTCACCTAAGCTGCTGTCAAGCCAGCCTGTCATGATGTATCCATGTTAATGCTAATCTAAGTGGAAACTAAGTAAGTAATTATCAAAAGAATGCACCAAACCGGGAAGGCTATGTAGCACCATCAAATGTGCGGAATAATCAGAGGGTGCTAAATATCATCAAGGATGCCAATACGAGAACAGAAACGCACAAGGCGAACGATATCAAAAGTATTCGATTCACCAAGAATTCTATCGAGGGACAAGCGACCACGAGGGACGGTCGAAAAGCAAGACACACACTCGTCCTGGAAGTCAGGACGAGCCAGGATATGCACGACCATAAGAGGGACAATGCAATTTGGACAATAAAGAGCAGGGCGGCACTCCATTAAGTAACCGTGAGTTAAGCGTGCATGGCCAATACGCAACCTTGCTAGAGCCGTTTCCCACCGCCAGTTACGGTGGTAGGAGGAAGGCCACGGGGAGACACTACGCTTAAGAGTATGCAGTTTGTTACCAACAACCCTGCCCACTGGCAAGGATGGAGGAATGAATAACTGGATAAAAGTCGGAATAAGGAATACCTTTACGGGAGATGGGACTAGAGTTGATAGCTTCCCTAGTGGCAGCATACGCACGCTCATTTAAAGAAACACCAATGTGGCTGGGAACCCAGCAAAATTCTACAGATTTAAATTTACTGGAGATAAGAAACGGTCAATGTTGAATCTCGACCACCGGATAGACTGGATTAAAGGACCCTAGAGCCATGAGGGCACTACGAGAATCTCCAATCCTTGGTGATATTTAGCACCCTCTGATTATTCTGTACATTTGATGGTGCTACATAGCCTTCCCGTTTTGGTGCATTCTTTTGTTAATTACTTACTTAGTTTCCATTTAGATTAGCATTAACATGGATACATCATGACAGGCTGGCTTGACAGCAGCTTAGGTGAACAATCCTTATAGAACACACACATTTGTTTCACTAAACATGAACTGTTTGGCTCATACAGAAATTTGAGAGTGAAGTCCCACTGAAAAATATATATATATGTCATATCAATTTTTTTGCAAATATTGCTGCTTAGTCTCGAGTCTAAACCATTTATATAGTGTAAACAACAGAGGGCCCAGGACAGAGCCTTGAGGCACTTGCAACTGTTTCCCACTCTGATTTATACTAAGTGTTTCCTTTGGTATAACCATGCCCTCATTCAACTAAAGATAGAACCCTTAATACTATGAACTTCAATGTTTCATATGGAACTATATCAAATGCTTTACTTAAGTCAAGGTACACAATGTCACAAACCTGCCCTATCAACTGCCTCAATTATGTTTATATTTAATTTGTAAGTGTTTGCAAGCGAGTTAAAACTTTAATTAAAGAAGGTTCATACCTTGTGTGTGTAAAAATTTCCCTCATGCATTTTTTTTGTTAGAGTAGCGTCTGTACTATTAGTGGGGTCTATGGTGGATGGGGTATTGGACAGCGAAGTCTTTCTCTTGTTACTTTTTTATATTAATTTCTGACCATATTTCTCCTCAGACTCATGGGGTGGGCGACCAGGCCCCCCTGAGTCGAACTGTGCTGGAAGGGCGGGCTCTGTTGGGCCCAGACCAGGCTTCATCTCTGACTACCCCTACTGACTTTGTTTTCCCCTTCCTCTTCAATTGGCTGGGTTGAGCCCCAGTGGTGACTACCTTGTTGCCTGATGTGGCTCTAACACAAGACTCAAACTTCATTCATAATGAAATGCTTCACCATCTCCCTCAGGGTGCCTTTCACTATTTACTGAATATTTATAGTCTTATTTGGGAGACGTTGACAGTCCCCCATAGACTAGGAGTATGAGGACATCCTGCTCAAACTTATACTGAATGCAAAAAAAAAACACTGATATTTATCCACTAAGCCCCCCTCAAGGCAACAACAGGCTGGAAAGAGAGGGAAAGCACTTTGGGAAGAGTTAACATGGGGAGGGTTCACATTACCAGTACTCTGGGTGGGAGCGGTGTGTGTAGGCTGAGCAGGTGTCACAACTTTACTACTAGAATAATTTACTTCCTGGGCTGAACTTGAAACAGACATTACTTCTTGACCCACCTTAGCTGGAGTGCTGTGACAGGAATGGGCACATGTGCAGCACAATTAGGGACAGCTACTCCCCTCTCACCAGGGGTTACCCGGGCTTGTGTCTGGGTGGTCACCAGGGTTTGATTCCGAGTATTGACATCCATATCGCCATCCTAGGTGGTGATTGTTGTAAGTTAAAGGCTCAAATTCTATCTCTACGTGGCATACTGAGGTATGGTTGTGCTTCTATAACTGTACTGTACTAGAGTGAAAATTCCCCTGGCAGTGCAATACTTGCTACGGCTTCACTTAATTCGTTAAGTTCACTTGATTTATCTTCACATATATGAAGAAGCAGAAATCAGTAGTCGAAGATGAAACTAGATAAAGAAAAAGAAGCAGTATATTAATTAAACTACTGTACAATTTAGAGGACATTGATCTGGAAAATTTCTTCAAAAAGTCAGATGTAACACAATACAGGAAACAACAATTTCAAGCTCAACAAGACACAGTGTAGGACTGAGAACAGGAGATGCTTTTTCACCCACAGGGTTAACCCATGGAACCGCCTACCTGCTGAAACCGTAAATGCCAAAACTCTGCTCACATCTACAGTACAGCTGGGAAAAGATCAGATTAAACTGATCTTTTCCAAGTAAAACTTAGATATTTGTGTCCTTGTTATTTGGTTATGTTACATGTTATTTATTGAAGCACCACTAACAAAACCTCGTCTCAAAATTGTGCATTTCATTTTGTCCAGTTTGAAGAAAAATTTACGTAAATTCCTCAAATTTACATTTTTTTCTTTTGTTACCCTGGCATGGGGAGAGTTGAAAGGAATACCTTAGCAGGAAAGCCACCTTTCAAATCCCCTGCCAGTTCAGCCAACAGCTCTGTAGTATGATTACAGTGAGAGAACAACATTCTCTAAAAAGATGTAAACATGTACTGTACTTAATATTACGAGACTAATCCAAGTACATTCTGTGACTGAAAAACATTTTGAAAATATAAGTGCTAAATGTGGAAAATGAGTTAAAAAAAAATAGATGTGGAAACTAGAAAAAACATTGGAATGCTGCAGTGTAAACAATGCACACAGATCTATTCACTTCTCTATGAGCAGCGGTGCTGTGAGTACGACCCTCCCGCTTGTGTGGTTCAGGTCAGAGGGACACCTCACGTGGTACAATAAAGTATTGTAGTGTGGCACAATTTTTTATACATGAGTAGAAAGAGGATAGGAAATGTATATCCCAGAGATGGCTGAGAATATTTGATTTTCCGTTCTGTTGTGTAGACCATTTTAATCTTGTTGGGTGTCCTGGGCAACGTGTTTGGTTAGATGTTGATAGCCACAGTGCCTATGTCCCAGTGTATAGTAAAGATAGCTGTAATAGAATCAAAGTAGTACACTCATCAAGTATACCAGTTTATGTTGTGAATAAGTGGAGTTTGAGGATACTGGATAGTTAAGCGAGTCCAAGTTTTGGGGACTTAGTAATGTCTAAGTCCTATTACAAATTACAACCAGATATATACAAGAGTTGTTCTTGTACAGCCACTAGTACGCGTAGCGTTTCGGGCAGGTCCCTGGAATACGATCCCCTGCCGCGAAGAATCGTTTTTTCATCCAAGTACACATTTTACTGTTGCGTTAAACAGAGGCTACAGTTAAGGAATTGCGCCCAGTAAATCCTCCCCGGCCAGGATACGAACCCATGACTTAGCGCTCGCGGAACGCCAGGTGAGTGTCTTACCACTACACCACGGAGACTGTATACAAAAGCTGTACCTCAGACAGTAGGCAAAAGGCATCTATATTGGAAAAAAAAGTATTTGCAAATAATAGCTCATGAAATCATACAGGGATTTATTTTGTATACTGAAGTCTTCACTTAAAGATACAAGATATACCAGAAACATAGTTGTAATCTGCAAACACTATTGAAAAAGAACCTACCTTGAGGTTACCTTGAGGTGCTTCCGGGGCTTAGCGTCCCCGTGGCCCAGTCGTCGACCAGGCCTCCTGGAAAGGCCTCACCTATAGAGAAATCCCAAAACAATCCAGTATATCCTCAAGCTCCACTTATTCACAACACAAACTGGTACACTTGAAGGGTGTACTTCTTGGATTCTTTTACACACTTATCTTTACTATACACTTGAACTTGGGTACTGTGGCAAACAACCTTTAACCAAACACATGGCTCAGGCCAACTAACCCAACAAGATTAAACCAGTCTACGTCTACACCACATGATGGAATATTACACAAACTTTGCCATCCGTCTCTGGGGCATATATATATTTACAATCCTCTTTCTACTTGTATATTCACAAATTGTGCTACACTATGGTAAGTTACTGTATCATGTGGCGTGTCCCTCCAACTTGAACCAACAAGTGAGAGGGATGCCCTCACAGCAACACTGCTCTGAGAAATGGATGAATCTTGATACATTACATCGTTTACACTGCTGCCTTCCAGCGTTCCAATGTTTTTCTTGTTCACCGTCTGTTTATTTCTCATTTCTTATTTTGTTTAAAACTGGTTGTCCACATTTAACACTTATATTATCAATATGCTTGCCAGTAACAGAATGTACTTGAAATAGTCTCTATTTTAACAATAAACAGTACTGTGTTTACATCTCTTTAGAAAATGTCATTCTCTCACTGTGATTATACTACAGAGCTGTTAGCTGAACTTGAAGAAATTGTAAAAGGTGGCCGGCAAAGGTCCCTTCCTTATATTAATGCTAGGTGAAGTGGAATGCAGTTCTGGAAGTTCCAAGGAGCACATATTTGGTGAAGAATAAAATCCTTCATATAACAATAAATACAGTAGTAAGCAGATGAGGAGTCACAATGATGTTGCTGAAAAATGTTGACCAGACCACACACTAGAAAGTGAAGAGACGACGACGTTTCGGTCTGTCCTGGACCATTATCAATTCGATTGTTCCAACTTGCAGTAGTAAGTTGAAATAAAATTATGAATATCAATTTTAAATGTGCCAGTATTCATACATATACAGCTAGCTTAATATCTGTGGATAAATAAATGAGATTTACTCATAAAAGCTTCTAGATTTATTGTTAACATAAAGCTTAGAGTAATAACCTAGGTACAAAGTACATGAGTAATATACTGTATATTAACAAATGATTTACGTAATAAAGTGAAATACTAATGAAGGTGAAGGAAAGATCCAATGTATTTGTAAGTATGTTAAACACTGGTTTTTATAAAACTTACACAGCCTGTATATTAGGTCTTTCCTTCACCTTCATTCAAGCCCTATGGCATTGTACTAAGTTTCTCAATAACAATAATCATACTAATAATAGTATCAGTATAGTATTTATTAATAATTATGCCTTATACTCACATAGTAACTAGATTACTCATTAAGACATAAAAATAATAATGCATGAAAACATATTAATGTCTATGAGTTATTAATAACTTCTCACAAAGACATAATAAATACTCACCAAAGATATAAAATTATGACACCACCTTTAACAGATTTTAGAAAACTTGGAACCTTTAACAAACTAAACACTTAAAACATACAAGTCTCACACAAAATGTTAAAGTATTGCATAAAATAATCAACCAGTTAAGCAGGTGCCCTCATAATGCACACTGCACCTGACCTAGCTGACCATGGTGCACTAGCAATGCAGCTGACCATGGTGCACTAGCAATGCAGCTGACCCAGCTGACCATGTTGCACTAGCAATGGACCTGACCATGTTGCACTAGCAATGGACCTGACCCAGCTGACCATGTTGCACTAGCAATGGACTTGACCCAGCTGACTATGTTGCACTAGGAATGCAGCTGACCCAGCTGACCATGTTGCACTAGCAATGCTGCTGACCCAGCTCACCACGGTGCACTAGCAATGGACCTGACCCAGCTGACCATGTTGCACTAGCAATGCTGCTGACCCAGCTCACCACGGTGCACTAGCAATGGACCTGACCCAGCTGACCATGTTGCACTAGCAATGCTGCTGACCCAGCTCACCACGGTGCACTAGCAATGCTGCTGACCCAGCTCACCACGGTGCACTAGCAATGCTGCTGACCCAGCTCACCACGGTGCACTAGCAATGCAGCTGACCCAGCTGACCATGTTGCACTAGCAATGCTGCTGACCCAGCTCACCACGGTGCACTAGCAATGGACCTGACCCAGCTGACCACGGTGCACTAGCAATGGACCTGACCCAGCTGACCACGTTGCACTAGCAATGCAGCTGACCCAGCTGATCACGGTGCACTAGCAATGCATCTGATCCAGCTGATGCATAAGAGAAACACAAGACCCAAACAAGAAAAAGATACATATAAAAAAACGAGCATTATATTGTAATGTTAAAACAAATGATGCTTAGTAATTAAATTTCTGCTAAAATTTAAACTTGAAACTTTCATGTATGTATTTTTTAATATATTCTAAGAAAACGAGCTAAACAACGCAGTCTTAGAATAAAAAGTTTAAGTCGTTAGAACTTAACTAAAGTTTTATAATGAACTTCATATACAGTATTTACAGTTGCATGTTCAAATCTAAAAATGTACATCCAACTTTTACAAGTATTAAAATAAATTGTGTTTTGATATATACGAGATGTTGAGTTTATATATTTAATCATAAAGAGAAAAATTCCATACTGTATAAGAATACTGTAAGAGTATATACAGTAATTGTTTATTGATAAAGCAAGTTAACAAAATATTTTAAGTAAATTAAAGTTAGGATTAATTTTTTTTTTTTTTTTAGCTTTTTAAGCCAAAACTAATATGCTACAGGATAAGCATTAACATTTCTACCGAATTGTTCTGTATATACATTTTATAAGCTGACAGCTGCTAGTTTGCATCAACTAACTTTACATGTTACGGTTATTGCATATCAACTAACTTTACAAGCTGGTGGGTATTATTATAAACTAAATTTAAAAACTGATAATGTATAAATTCATTTTACAAGATGATAGCTGTAGTTCCACAATGACTAAATTTGAAACTGGCTCTAGAAACAAATCAATTATTATGTAATTGTATAGTACACCGGGAGTATAGTACTAGGGAGCCGGTCGGCCGAGCGGACAGCACGCGGGACTTGTGATCCTGTGGTCCTGGGTTCGATCCCAGGTGCCGGCGAGAAACAATGGGCAGAGTTTCTTTCACCCTATGCCCCCTGTTACCTAGCAGTAAAATAGGTACCTGGGTGTTAGTCAGCTGTCACGGGCTGCTTCCAGGGGGTGGAGGCCTGGTCAAGGACTGGGCCGCGGGGACACTAAAAGCTCCGAAATCATCTCAAGATAACCTCAAGATACACACTGAGGCCAGAGCCTTTCAAGAACCAATAATTTACTACCATCAATAAAAAAAAAACACAATTTTCTATATAAACTGGTTGCAATGTGCTTGCTTGTATCAGAAATTAAATTTTTGGTTACAGCAATAAGCTCCCCATTATTTGGATTAATTGGGAACATACTCCATCCACTGCTTTAAATTAAATTTTTGCTTAAGATTTTGTTATTTTTGGCCGTCCAATATAACAAACTATAATTTTATATGTTTATCACCAACACAAATCAAAATATGCTGGAGTTTTTCATTTATACCTTTACAGAATAATAATGATTTGGGTGACCAAATACCAGATTGCAATAAAAAGAATTTTAAATTAAAATGTCCAGATTTATATCTTTTACACAGTACCCTGTACTAATGTAATGACTGGTGTGATATTTCTAGCTTTAATTTTTTAATCTAAATGGTTTATCATATTAAACATTAGTTTGTTTTATTGTTGTTACTGTATGTGTTTCATTTGCCAATACTGTATGAGCTTGCTCATCCGAACTACTGTATATAGTAAGGCCCCCCCACCCCTTTGTCGGATAAGCCAGACATTCATATAAGCAGAAATCTTACCCGTTCAAAAGTGAACATACTGTATTTGCTATTTTTGTTTACCACAACCAACATAATATGAATTTTCACACACACTATAATTTAAAAATTATACCAGTATTGCAATTTAAAACAGAAACTTCAGCTTTCCTTGTAGTAGTTCGTGCTGCATATCTACAAATCAATTCTTCTTGAAAATTTACAAAACCCCAACCTAACACAACACTAAAATTACTTTACAGTAATTTTTCATATGTCAGAAGTCTCCCTAATATTCCTCTTTGTTCCAGTTTCCAGTTAAACCTTTTATGTGGGATTCTGTCAAAAGCCTTTTTTTTTTCTTTTTTTAGGTCCAGATAAATGCAATCAACCCAATAATCTTTCTCCTGTAAAATCTCTGTGGCTCCATCATAGAAACTAAGTAGATTTGTTACACACAATCTTCCTGTTCAAAAGCCATACTCTTTTATATCATTTTTCTCCATTTGGTTTTAATTATTTTTCTAATGTTTTGATTACTACACTTGTCAACGATAGAGCTCTGTAATTAAGAAGGTCTTCCCTGCTACCATTTTTGTAGATTGGAACTATGTTAGTCCTTTTCCATATATCTGCCAAGACTCCTGCACACATGACTTAAAAAACAAATTTTATGGAGTGCTGAGCTCAGGTGTGTATTCTCTCAGAACCCAAGGCAAAACTCCATCTGGGCCAACTGCTTTGTTTCTGCTTAGCTCCTTGAACATTTTTTCCACTTCTTCTCAACACACCACTATGTGCTCTATGTTGTTCTTTGGAATTCTTATTGTATCTGGTTCTCTGAAAATTTCATACAAAGGTAAACTCATAAGCACTATTCCACTATTCCAGTCTCGGTTATGACTGGCCACAGAACTTTTATGGTAACCTATTGTTTATATAAAATATTTTTAAACATTTGTAGTTTCTCTTCAGTATGAACTCTATTATTTTAACACTGAGCACCGAATTGTGGAATGATTTCTTGCATTCTAATGTTGTGCTAGATTTTACTTTAGTTATCCAATTTACAAACCCTCTAAATAGTGATATGGTTCCTCTTTTATATGGATACTCATATGTTTTATTAGATTTGCTTTTTGTGAAAAATCCTTTACACACAATGAACAATGAAATGGCTTCTCACCTGTATGAACTCTCATATGTTTTACAACATCCGATCTTTGTTTAAATTGTTTTAGACACACTGAACACTGATACGGTTTCTCTCCTGTATGTACTCTCATATGTTTCTTTAAATTTTCTCTTTGCGAAAAGTGTTTTAAACACTCTGAACACTGATATCGTTTTTCTCCTGTATGTATTCTCATATGTTTTATTAGGATAGTTTTTTGTGAAAACTTCTTTAAACACTCGGTACATTGATATGGTTTCTCTCCTGTATGTACTCTCATATGATTTATTACACTTGCTTTTTGAGTAAAGTCTTTATGACACTCTGTACACTGATAGGGTTTCTCTCCTGTATGAACTCGCTCATGCTTTACTAGATGTGATTTTTGTTTAAATAGTTTGAGACACACTGAACACTGAAATGGTTTCTCTCCTGTATGAATTCTCATATGTTTCACAAGGGTTGATTTATCTGAAAATTCTTTCAGACACCCCGAACATTGATATGGTTTCTCACCTGTATGAACTCTCATATGTTTTACTTGGGTTGACCTATCTGAAAATTCTTTTAGGCACACTGAACACTGATAGGGTTTCTCTCCAGTATGAATTCTTGTATGTTTTACTAGATCTGCATTTGTTTTTACTTGCTTTTGACATACTAAACACTGGTGGATTTTCATTCTGAAGTCTTTCAGACGCTGCATATTTATATTGTTCTTCTCCATAGTTGTAGTTTTGCTTGTTCCACTGAACATTTTTTTTTTTTTTTAAACAATGGAGTGTAATACTAAACCAGTTTTTGTAGGGAAGAAGTTTACACACTGATCAATAATTTAGTTTGGTGCCTAGAGCAAGTGATGAGCACAAGGCATATCACTAGCAGGATATAAAGTTCACTAACAGCTTACTAATCAACCTTCAAGTATCCTTAAGTGCTGAATAAAATTTAGAACTATTTGATAAATTACCTGTAAACCCTTTTTATACTGGTTTGAAATTTTTCTTCAAACACTCTCATTGCTACTGGAGCATATTTTGTTTCTTTTTTGTACGAATGTAAATGTCTTAGCAGAAAAGACATCTTTTTTACAAACACAAAAACCAATATGATTTCATGTGAAATTTCAGTTTTTCTAATGCATTCTAATGTAAAAGATGTGAAACATTTCGAATGCTGATAACTTGACATATTACACCCAAACAGGTGCAAAAGAGGTGGTAGTGAACAAGGCCAAGTGGAAGCTGTATGTTAGGCTGGAATTAACATCATCTCACGAGGAGCACATTACTCCTAGTCCATGAAGCTTCTATACTGGTTCTCTGTTGTGCTGCCAGGTGTGAAAGACTGAATTAATAGACAAGTATCCCTTTTAAATATCTTTAAAAATTATACCTCCTTTTTTTTCTGCATTATCTATCTTGTCTCAAGAAAGCGGGAAACTGGGTAATAGTGATGGCAATTTTGCTACATGAATAGCAGTGAATTTTAAGAAAAATGTTCTCAAACTTATTTTTTTTATATATAACTCACATGTGTATTACCAAATTAAAGTTATGTGAATAGTATCTCAAGGACAATCTGAAAAAAATTCTTAACTAAAAAATCTATTACTACATATTCCACTAAATAAAAATTAAAGAAATATATTTAAGGACACTGAAAATGATGTGATGGATTTAGTTATGAGCTCTCATAAATCTAATCTGAATTCTACAAGACAAATGGCTTTCCCTTTTCAACTTTTTTTTTCTAAAGATCATACATATAGATTCATGGCACTAAACAAAGGTGTCCTAAGCAATAAACAAGATCAAAAAGGTCCAATTATATCTGATAAGGACCACTAGCACGTCCATAAATTATATATTTCAGTAATTCATGGTACATCCCCACCTTCCCCTCCCCCCCCACCCAGAATCAATGCAAGGTAGGTACACTTTTTTTCAACCTTTCTGGCACTGCAGTGATAATATGATTAATGAATATGTATACAGTATATTCAAAAGCAAAGTTATGACATTTTTCAGTTCCTAACAAATGGAGGACGATCCACACCACACTACATTCAGACACCCTAATTCACTAGAGGCCTAGAGGCACACTACACTATATTTATACACACCATGATTTACTAAAGGGTCACTATACTACATTCACACATACACATACACCACGATTCAATACAGGTACACAATTTCCTGTGCACACACACACACACCATGTTTCACTCCAGACACACAACACTACTTTCAGACACACCATGTATCACTATTGACATGCCATATGGCATTCAAGACATACCATGATTCACTACAGATACACATCATTATATTATACACTATGATTCACTACACTACATTTACACCCTATATTTGCTATACAATACACACAATACATTATTACACTCACACAAACACCATGATTCGCTAAGAAAATTGTCTCTACAAACTCATATAATATGCCTAAACATCCTCCCTCAACCGAGTCGTCCACCTAATTCTGCTGTCTTTCAGAGTGTACTTTCAGATCAGACACGAATGGGGATAGTGTGTGATATTGATCCTTTGAACAGGGTATCGAAAATTGATGGCAATCAGCCTGTACCTGTAATGTTTGGTATCAATGCTGCAACTGAAATTTGCTGTAAATAGTTCATTGCAATTGCATAAATGGTAGCAGTAACCCCTTTTGCAATTGCAGAAAATATGAGCTTCTGTATAAGGATCATGCCAATTTATGCCTTGCGACAATCCGCATAACCAGTTTTCAGAAGAAATAGAAGCCAGCTTAGACTTAGACAGCAAATGAGTGAAAGTTCCATTCTTTACTACTGTATTTAGCATGTATAAGATTTATCAATGACTTCTTCAGTGCATTTTCCGAGACACATTATTTAGAATCATGCCAATAAAAAAATATTCTTAAAAATGAGACTTGGATGAAGCTAGAAAATATGTTGAAGTCACATTAGCCATGTTAAAAAAAAAAAAAAAAAAAAAAAAAACACACATGCTTAATATAACTAAACACCTTTTTCTGGTGAGTCCTTGGTGCTTGCTGCCTGGCAAGCTCTACCCAATTCTATCCAGGCTCTTGCGAATGATAAAAATGCATAAAAAAGACCAGACAAAAACCAGGGCCCTCTAAAGAGGCATAAGGGGCAGTAGACTGTAAATCATCCTAACAAAGAAAAGACCACCAGAAAGTGGGGCAAACCAAAATAGACAACAGCACGATAAACAAACCATTGAAAATGGAACAGCAAAGCCCCAAGATTCACAAACCACTGGGTGATGAAGCAATTCTCACCTCCATTATATCTGCACACCACCTAGGGATTGTGCACCTTCCTCTTTCAGTTAGCAAATTAAACCCCCACAGTCAAATACAGTAGTCAGGAAAACGGAAAATCCAAGCTCCTGAATGGGGGGTAGTAAGGGTTCCAAGGACCCACTTGAGAGGAATTTCATTACATTTAACACAGGTTTTCTGGGAGGGCTTCTAATAATTACCCAAGTGTAGTTACAGGATGAGAGCTACGCTCGTGGTGTCCTGTCTCGAATGGTGGTTCCTTGATGCTATGTCAACATGCAGAAAAACAAAAAGGAGTACTAGACCGGGATAGAGGAGAGCTGCAGGAAATAACTCCCAGGAAAGGGGAAAGTTAACAAGTAAACTGCCTCAAAGAAACACAAGCCCAGTTCAGAACAAGTAAGTTCAGTAAGTAACAAGCTGCCAGCACCCTGTTGGATTGGCAAAACCAGAGCCCAAATATCTGCCCATGATATATTCAAAGAACCACAGCCAAAGCCCAAAACTTACAGACACCCTGGGCTCAAGGGTAGACTGTAGGCTGGCTAAATTTGATGACATTACAGACGATTGGAGACAAACAGACCCTGAAACAAGGAACCAAGGAGACCGGATCCACAGAGTGTCTTGTGCATCACTAGTGGCATGGATTTAATGATTTAATGGAAAATGGCCACAACCAGACATAATAAATAATGCATCCAGGTTGAATCAACCAAGCATCAATCACCAAAGGACCCCTCCCATTATTAGCTAGAAAGACAGGAGAGGGGCTGTAAATGAAGAAAACAACCCCTAGGACTATAAAAGCAAAACCCCCCACTTCCCAGAGGAGTGTGTGAAGCTCTCCAAACAGCCAGACAGACAACCAGAAGCGAGGGGCCAATAAAAAAAAAGTCTTGAAGAAAAAATCCCAGATCGAAGGGGCAACAGAAAATCGGGAAAGATACACTAAATCCTTGTCCAACGAGGTGAAGAAACACCTCAAAAGTGTTGGTCTCCTGCAAAACAGCAAAGTTCTACTGCTTCAAGATAACAGTTTAATGAATCCAAGCAGTGATGAGCTAACAAATGGCAATATCATTAGTATGTTCTTACCACCCAACACAACTTCACTGATCCAACCCATGTATCAAGGGATAATTAGGAACCTTAAGCACCACTAAAAAGAGGATGTTTGCCAGATGTCTCAATAATCATCTAGGAACAGTTAGGGATTTTTTAAAAGTCTACACAATAAAGCTATCTAAAACTTTGTCCCATGCCCTAACATGGGACAAAGTAAAGTTAACAAGACTAAGAAATGGTTGGAGAAAACTTAGCCTGCATTGGGTCTGTCTCCTGAGGAAGATAACGAGGTAGATTTTGACGGATTTGGGGCCAAGAAAGTTAGCAAGAAAAAAATTGAGAGAGGCACTCCTAGCCTATTTTAGAGGGATTAAGTCAACAGAACTGAAAGCAGAACTGGTGACAGAAACACTAGAAGATGATATAGATAAATGGATAGATGATGATGAAGATGCCCAAGCTTTCAAAACACAACTGATGAAGAATCTATAGATTTAGTTACAGAAAAAATGCCAGAGTAGTGCAAGGAAGATGAGGATGCTGATGATGCGACAAAGTTTGAGAAAGTGTTAAATTAAAAAAATATTAAGGAAAAAGTTCAGATATATTTAGAAGACATTCTTGCATTTATGGAACTAAGTAACAGTGAGTTTATAAACACATAAACACTGTTTATATGTTTATGTATATACATATAAATAAATAACAAATAAATGTTGATTCACGGGGTAATAATGTTATCCTCATATGACAATTTAGACAAATATTGTCTGGGCTTTACATGTATGATGTGAATAAGGATATAGTGTAATAGGCTCTTGGCTAATAGCTTTTGATTAGATTAAGGTACCACATGACAAACTGGTAAGGAAAGTTCAAGCACATGGAATAAATGATAGAATACTAGAAAGGATAAAACAATGGTTAAAACCAAGAAACCAAAAGATCGTCCTAAACAGAAATGAATCAGACTGGAGAAATGTGGAGAGTGTGATACCACTGGAGTCCATTTTGGGGACAACCGTTCTTGTAATATACATCAATGACAGAGATGAGAATACAGGTATTAAAAAAACCCCACAGCATCAGATTTATTGATGACACTAAGATTTTTGGAAAATTAGGTAATGAAAATGATATTGAGGCTATACAAAGTGATCTACATGAACTCCACAAGTGATCAACAGATTGGCAGATGCTTTCTAATATCGAAAATGCAAGGTCTTGCATGTGGGACACAACAATGTACATCCCAACTGCAGTACCAAATCAACAACATTACCTTGTGCAGATTGATGAAGGAAAGGACCATGGAGTCAGAATCAATAAATCACTGAAAGTTTCACAACAAGTGGGAACTGCTGTAAAAAAAAATAATAAAAAAAAGGTAACCAAATCTTAAGGAATAGTCAGATGTAACTTTGATTTCATGAAAAAGAAGGTATTGGATTATTGCAACCCATCCTCCTGTTTAGATAGTACTTTTTGTAACTATGTGCATCATAGTACAAACATTGACATACTAAGCAATTAGACTTTAGTACTGTACTGTACTATTCACTTTATAAGTCAGAAAAATGAAGCTAAAAACAAACTTAAATATTCCCAATCATAGTATAGCACACACATGTACTATATTAGGCCTCAATATGATGTATTACTCCTAGGAAGGTTAGGTTAGGTTAGTTTAGTTTGCCTTTGCAACATAAATACAAAATCTTTTCCAGTTTGTCAAAATTCAATACAGTAGTACTGATTTCTACTTTCTAATTGTGTTGTATGTCGGTATATGTACTTTGGTCCTCATTGTTCCTATAAGCACTATCAAAACAGGAGAATGAGCCGATTATTGTATCCAAGAATGAAGACCTCATCCTCCGAAAGACACATCTGCTTTGGAGAAAGTTCAACACCGGGCGACAAAAATCATTCCTGAACCAAGTCGACTCCCATACCAGGAACAGTTGAGGGCCACAGGCTTAACAACTCTGCAAATCAGGCATCATAGGGCTGATTTCATTGAAACTGTTAAAATATTGAACAACTTGGAGGATATTGTAACACTGTAAAAGTGTTTGGGTTAGTTTATTTAAAATATATATAGAATATGAGTCACAGACAGGGATTTGGAAAGGCGCCAGTTGTCTGCCTGAGATCTCACACCTCTAACCGTTAACGACCCCAAGTGACCTGAGGTCAGATCATGAGAATTTCACCTTGCTTCCGCTAAGCTGATAATTGTAGGCTGGTAGCCTTCAAACAAGCCGACGTTTAAGGAGTGGCTTGGTAGTGCCGGAGGCTATCTACTTGTGGGCGGAGTTAGCTACTAGGTTCCCCAATATAAACTCGGAGAGCTATCCAGCAGAAGGCATTAACAGACAGAGCAGCAGACGAGAGAGAGAAGACGTCCCTACCAGGGAGGTTGTCGGCCGGCAGGGGCGAGACAGTCTCTGTCAAGCTACAGACCCCCCCCCCCTCTCTATTCAACTTAGACTCAGTCCTCGGTGAGTGAACATTAAGGTGACTTGGTCGTGTTTACATATGTTGTGTGATGATCAGGGGCAGTCAAGTTGTAGGGTTCTCGAATTCTTGGATGATGACTCACTTTGCATATTAAACTGGAACATTTTAATTGAATTGCTAAATTATGATACTTCATGTGAAATATAATTATGAATTTATTATTTAAATTGTGTTTAACTTTGTTCCCTAGAGCTTTGAGTTGAGGATTTGAGAAAGCCTCTGTGGTTACTGGGTTCATGATATAAATGAGTACATGTTTGGAGTTGATACATGGTACAGAGGGAACATACTAATAATGAACTCATGATAACATCCTTTGAGAATTTTGTGATACAGGCAAGTTCCATTCCTTGTCTTGTATGTAATGATCATGAATGGATGGTGGCAGCATTTCGTCTTCTACTATCTACTCTTCTACTTCTACTATCTACTCTTCTACTTCTACCTATCTACACCTCTCCCTCCACCCTTCTCTAAACTTTCACTTTCAACTAATGACCCTTCTCGCTCCTCCCACCTCTCTGCCTCTCACCCCAAACCCTCACTAATTACTTCACTATTCATTTCTTTCCTTTCGTTTTCACTTATACGTTTGTGGCAATGATACTGTATTCTAGAGTTCTCTCTAGAGTTTCGGGTAACTGATCCAGTTACGGCGCCTTATATTGATCCAGACCAAGTCTTCAAAAAGTCACATGTAACATGAACAAGGAACACTGGTTTCAAGCTCAACAAGCCATAATGTAGGACAGAAAACAAGTGAGGCTTTTTAACCCACAGGGTTAAAAACACAAGGAACCACCTACTCGCTGAGGCCGTAAATGTCAAAACTCTGCTGAACTTTAAAATCCAGTTGAAAAATTCATCAGGGCAAATGGGGAGACCTTTGACAAGCCACTGGCTTCCTGTCCTCGTCGAGGCCACTCGAATGTTAGTGGCCCTCAGGTAAATTTAGGTAAATTTATTATTATTTATCCCATGCCACTAAGACATCATCTTCATTTTGTCACATTAAATTAAAAATAAAAATATGTAAACATTGCATTTTTATCTGTAAAAATATTCCATTTACAGTCATACTTGACTTTTTCTTGTGTTCTATTCACAATAGGTGGGGAATGACATTCTGACACATTGATAGAGGAAAAAAATTGCACGAGGCAAAAAAAAAAAAAAAGATCGAGACCCACTGTTCTAAACAAACTTAAGCTACTCAAACTCAACATGATGTGTGGTGTCCCTCCGACCTATTATACATGCATCTGGAGATACTTTTGGATCGGGGTATGACGGATGAGTGGACAGTACTCGGGGTTCGTAGTTCTAAGGGTCCGGATTCGATCCCCAGCTCAGGCGGAAACGAATGGGCAGAGTTTCTTTCACCCTGATGCATCTGTTCACCTAGCAGTTAATAGGTACATGAGAGTTAAGACAGCTGCTACGGGCTGCTTCCTGGGGATATGTGAAAATTATGATTAAGGACCTGCCCAAAATGCTATGCGTGCTAGTGGCTATACAAGAATGTAAGAGCTCTTGTATATATAAATAAATAAAAAATACTAGGAACTTTCTTTTTCATTGAAAAAAGGTTCAAAGGTTCGTTGGCTTATTGCTAGCATACTACTGACCATAAGACAGCCACAGTGCCTCCAACTGGTGCTATTGTCACAATGCGCCTTACCTTCTTCAGTGAAGAAGAGGAGGAGGAAGTAAAGGTGTCTGGTGTAAGGAAAGGGTGCCCCAGACGAGGTAAGGGAGAGCTGCCACCAGCCGCTCATCGACCTGTGTTTACCTTAGCCTCTGCAGTCTTGCCAACTCAATTTTCAGTTTTACATACAAAAAAACATGGAACATAATATTGACAATAGTTTATTTCGGTAAAAGTACATGCATACAAAATGGGTTACAACCAGAATATTGGATTTCTAGATAGAGCAATTATATACAATTTTATTTATTTTTATTTTTATTTTATTTTATATATTTATATATACGCCACTAGCACGCATAGCGTTTCGGGCAAGTCCTTAATCCTAATTTTCCCCGGAATACGACCCGCCAAATCGTTTAACAACCACGTATCCATTTACTGTTGGGCTAAACAGAGGCTACAGTTAAGGATTGACGCCCAGTAAATCCTCCCCGGCCAAGAAACGAATTCAAGCCAAATCGCTCGCAAAGCGCCGGGCTAGTGTCTTGCCACTGTGCCACGGAGACAACGTGGCGCTCAATTCTTACCCGAGTTTACCTGTTTCCTGAGAGCCACTAACACTAGTGGCCTCGACAAGGACAGGAAGCTGGCGGCTTGTCGAAGGTCTCCCCATTTAGCGTGATCATTACTAGATATTTATTAACAAGTTTTAGCAGTTACGACTTCAGCGGGTAGGAGATTCCATGGGTTAATAACCCTGTGGGTGAAAAAGCATTTCCTGTTCTCAAGTCCTACATTGTGGAAATGTAGATTCTACCTCCTCTTCTTGTTGAGAATAGGTGCAGTTTGCATGAAGGGTTTACCCTCCCGATGACCACCAGGACAAATGTGTTTCTGCCTCTTACAATGTTGCTGTTCATGTTGATTTAGAGGCGACTACGACCGTGGGATCGGATGCGCCCAGCCGTACCCTGTAAGGGTTAATCGCGAAGCCTGGAAAGGTGAAACGCCAAGCCAAATCGCGAAACAAGTGATGAACCAGCCAGAACACGTAAAAAAAAAATCTATCAATAATCCCGTGACCCAAGGCGATATGTGCGCCAGGCGTCGTACAACCGGACCGTTGAATAGGGATTTTAAATGGCAGTAGCAAAGCCAAAACGCGAAAACAAACTTGATCAAGCGGCTCCCAGGCGGAGTGTCCAGACGTCCGTTCGCCGTCAAGGTTGAACCGGGAGCCTCTTACAATGTAGGAGTCTCAATCCTACATTGGATCAATGGATTCTAAGGGTTAATAACCCCCTGTGGGTAGAAAAAGCATTTCCTGTTCTCAGTCCTACATTGTCGATTGTTGAGCTTGAAACTGTTGCTCCTTGTTTGTTATATCTGAGCATAAGACGAAATTTTCCGGCTCAACATAAGAACATAAGAACATAAGAACAAAGGTAACTGCAGAAGGCCTATTGGCCCATACGAGGCAGCTCCTATTCTATAACCACCCAATCCCACTCATATACTTGTCCAACCCGTGCTTGAAACAATCGAGGGACCCCACCTCCACAATGTTACGCGGCAATTGGTTCCACAAATCAACAACCCTGTTACTGAACCAGTATTTACCCAAGTCTTTCCTAAATCTAAACTTATCCAATTTATATCCATTGTTTCGTGTTCTGTCCTGTGTTGATACTTTTAATACCCTATTAATATCCCCCCGGTTATGTCCATTCATCCACTTGTAAACCTCTATCATGTCACCCCTAACTCTTCGCCTTTCCAGTGAATGCAACTTAAGCTTTGTTAATCTTTCTTCATATGAAAGATTTCTAATTTGGGGAATTAACTTAGTCATCCTACGCTGGACACGTTCAAGTGAATTTATATCCATTCTATAATATGGCGACCAAAACTGAACTGCATAATCTAAATGGGGCCTAACTAGAGCAAGATATAGCTTGAGAACCACACCAGGTGTCTTGTTACTAACGCTGCGATTAATAAATCCAAGTGTCCGATTTGCCTTATTACGAACATTTATGCATTGATCCTTTTGTTTTAAATTCTTACTAATCATAACTCCCAGATCCCTTTCGCAATCCGACTTCGCAATCACAACACCATCTAGCTCGTATCTTGTAACTCTATCATCATTACCTAACCTCAGAACTTTACATTTATCAGCATTAAACTGCATCTGCCAATCCTTTGACCATTTCAAAACCCTATCTAGATCAACTTGAAGTGATAGTGAGTCCTCCTCCGAATTAATTTCCCTACCGATTTTCGTATCATCGGCAAATTTGCAAATGTTGCTACTCAAACCTGAATCTAAATCATTTATATATATTATAAACAACAGAGGTCCCAGGACAGAGCCTTGAGGCACTCCACTTACAACATTTTCCCACTCTGACTTGATTCCATTTATACTAACTCTCTGTTTCCTTTGGTATAGCCATGCCCTAATCCAGCTTAATATAGCACCCCCAATACCATGAGACTCTATTTTTTTAATCAGTCTTTCATGTGGCACTGTATCAAAAGCTTTGCTAAAGTCAAGGTATACAACATCGCAATCCTTACCACTATCAACTGCCTCAACAATGCTAGAATAAAAAGATAACAAATTTGTTAAACATGAACGGCCATTTATAAAACCATGTTGCGACTCAATTATTAATTTATGTTTTTCAAGATGAAGACGAATTTTATTTGCTATTATAGATTCGAGTAACTTTCCCACAATAGACGTTAGGCTAATTGGTCGATAGTTAGACGCAAGTGATCTATCTCCTTTCTTAAAAACTGGTATCACATTAGCAACTTTCCAAAACTCTGGCACTCTGCCTGACTCTATTGATTTATTAAATATGGTTGACAGTGGGTCACAAAGCTCCTCTTTGCATTCTTTAAGCACCCTAGCAAACACTTCATCCGGCCCTGGGGATTTGTTTGGTTTGAGTTTTACTATTTGTTTAAGAACATCCTCCCTGGTAACTGCTAAACTCGTCAACCTGTCCTCGTCCCCACCCACATAGACTTGTTCGGCTGAAGGCATATTGTTAAGTTCCTCTTTAGTAAATACAGATACAAAATATTTATTAAAAATACTACTCATCTCTTCATCACTATCTGTTATTTGACCTGTCTCAGTTTTTAATGGACCTATCCTTTCCCTAGTCTTAGTACGATATAACTGAAATCGGAAACATCCTCTAACTTGTTCCGTATTTTAAGTTTCAATAATATCCGCCCTGTCATGTCTGCTTTGCGGTGTTGTTAGCCCTATGGGAAATTGTAATGCAAGGTTTTTCTCCCTTCTGGCATCTTTATTAGGACCATATTACCCATTTACTGTTCTTATAATATTCATGACTATTCCTGTGACAGTTCTTATTCGTCACGTCCTTTAACAGTTGTTAAGTCACTGCATTAATTAGGTTTGTTTAAGACATAACTAACACGCTCGTATCTGGAGCTAGACACAAATATAACAATTATTAATGATGGTAACAGTCTTTTCATGTGGATTCCATCTCATGTTGGCTTTCGAATTCATGATAAGAGCTGATGAGCCAACATATTGATTGCAATAGTTAATCTCATATATGCAGTTCACCATATAAACTGGGAATCTAAATTCAATAATATACAGGACAAATTTATTAGCCGACATCGTCCTCTCGAAAACTCTAAGCCTCTACAACACACACTGTCCTCTCCTTTTCAAGAGATTGGTGAGGAGAGGTTTAATCTCTTGGCAGTAACTGCCAAGAGATTAAACAACCCCTGGCTCACAAGTGGCATACTTAAAGCAATTAACAAGAAACACGAATATGAAAAAAATAGAATTGGCCTAATTACAAAAAGTTAAAAAATACTCATCAATGCTTACCGGTATAATAAGAAGGGTTAAACTTTCCTTTTATGAGAGTAGATTCAAAGACGCAAAAGGAAACATGAAAAACACACGGAAAGCCATTTCTAGCATACTAGAATTTAAACAACAATCACATAACAAGCAGATAAAGCTCTCTAAGGATGGTTACGCAATTGCAACAGACCTAGAAATGGCAACTGAATTTAATAGCTTCTTTTCATCAATTGGTGTTAACCTTGCCAGAAAAAATCCCAGACCCAGACACATGTTACTACATATCTCACCGGCAACTATCCTAACTTTCTACTCCATTTATCAGTCAGCCTGACAGACATTATATCCATAATTCACTCGCTAAAAACCAAAGCAGGGAACACTAGTGAAATATCAACTATAGTACATATAGACCATTCAGACTCATTAACATGAGGTACCTGGAGCTTTGCAATTGCTTTATTCACTTTCGTGTTCTTGCAGATATCCTCATAATGCATCCAATATTTGCCAGTGCAGGCTACTAAACATATGGTAATGTATGACTAACCATCCTGCGAGATGGAGACTTTCATTATCACTGCACCTTATTCACTCTTGTGTTCATAGTAATCCTCATAATGCAGCCAGAGTTTGCCAGTGCAGACTACTTATCACATGGCCCTGTATGATTAACCATCTTGTGTGATGGGGATTTTTAGCATCACATAGCTAATTTTTTGACACACACTGTACTCCCTTTCATATAGTCTAGGGTAGCTGCACAAATTCAGATGTACCTTAATGTGTTACAGTAATTTAAAAAAATGGTATATAAGTGCTGCTCATGGCCTTGCACCACCCATAACTCAGCTATTCAACAAATCTCTATTGTCATAGCACACAGATGCATCAAAAGAACAAATCGACAAGGGCTGTGATGAGGGTTTGAACCTATGTCTGAGAGGATATCAGACACTTTAATCGACTGTGCCACGACATGGTTAAAAGAATTGCCACCGGTAGTTAGAGACTGTGGATCGCGCAAAAGGGAAAGCAACGAAGAGAAAGGAAGCGCAGGCCCCTCAGAAAGTAAAGGAAGTACCTAAGCAAACATTAGTTGTGGGAGATTCCCAGATAAGGTATTTGGATAGAACGTTTTGTGCTAGAGATAGGGGGAACAGGTTAAGGGTTTGCTATCCCGGAGCTGGCATTGGTGATATTATAAACAACATGAATGATATTATGGCTGGTAATGGGAACAATCCCATTATTTGCATTAGCGTGGGAGGAAATGATGTTGGTCGAGTCAGGAGTGAGGAACTGATTCAGAGGTATAAAACAGCCATAGAGTTAGTTAGGAGCAAGGGAGGAATCCCGATCATATGTGGCATTCTTCCAAGAAAGGGAGTGGGAAATGAATGGATATCGAGGGCACTTGGTGTCAATTGCCGGCTGGAAAGATATTGCAAATCAAATGCAATATCTTTCATAGACAACTGGGAACACTTCTATGGAAGAAATGAAATGTATGCTCGTGATGGGGTGCATCTATCGAGAGCTGGGGTTGTTGCTGTTGCGAACTCGCTAGAAGAAGTGGTTAGAGGTGTTTGTTTGGGTTTAAACTGTTAGTAGATAGAGGTATGGGAATTGATTTGGAGGAAGGAGGTAATAAAAGTATGTGTTTGTGGGAGAAAGGAATTGGCAAAACGATCAGGGAAAGAGAAGGTCCGCAAAATAACAATTCACTTAGGGTATATTACACTAACAGTAGAAGTCTAAGAAATAAAATTAACGAATTAAATGCTCTTGTCTGCACAGAAAAAATAGATATTATTGCACTTACCGAAACGTGGATGAATGTAGAAAATAGAGAACTATTAGCTGAATATCAAATATATGGATTTAAACTATTTCACACAGATAGATATATTAGACGAGGAGGTGGAGTAGCCATATATGTTAGGGACAATTTGAAATGTAGTCTCAAAGAGGGAATCAAAACAGAGCCACACACAGAAACTATTTGGATTGAATTAAACGAAAAAGCTAATAATATTATAATAGGAGTAATATATAGGCCACCAAATTTAGACAGAATGGAAGCAAAGCATCTATGGGATGAAATATCTAGAGCATCTAGATCTAACAGTATTTATGTCATGGGTGACTTTAATTTTAGCGGAATAAACTGGTTGAACAAAACAGGGAATAGTGAAGCAGAAGATTTTCTAGAATTAATTGACGATTGCTTTCTTACGCATCACATTAAGGAACCAACACGGGAAAATAATATTTTAGATTTAGTGTTAACTAACAGGGAAACGCAAATTAATGACATCGAAATAGGGAGTGAGCTAGGGAGCAGTGATCACAAAGAAATCAGATTTAGCATAGAATGGAATAGACCAGTAGGAGAAAATTCTGTTAAAGTGCCAGATTTTCGAAAAGCTGATTTTAATAGCCTAAGAAATTTTTTGGGTCAAATTGATTGGAAAGGCTTGGGTATGGGGTGTGGGCCGGTCTTGGAGCGAGACATGAACCCAGCGATAGGTGACTTAAATGGGGATTTCGATGTGGATTCAATATATAACTTATTTAAGAATATTCTAAACAAAGCACAGGAACGTAGTATACCATACAAATTGAATAGATCGTATACTAATGACCCAAAGTGGATAACAAAGAATTTGAAGAACCTTATAGGTAAAAAGAGAGCTTGGTACAAAAGGATTAAAAATGGGGAGGTCACTTTAGAACAGGAATTCGTACAACTGGTTAGAAATGTTAAAAAAGAGATAAGGAAAGCAAAAAGAAACTATGAAGTTCGCATAGCAGGGCAAGCAAAGACAAATCCTAAAGGGTTTTTTCAGTTATATCGTACTAAGACTAGGGAAAGGATAGGTCCATTAAAAACTGAGACAGGTCAAATAACAGATAGTGATGAAGAGATGAGTAGTATTTTTAATAAATATTTTGTATCTGTATTTACTAAAGAGGAACTTAACAATATGCCTTCAGCCGAACAAGTCTATGTGGGTGGGGACGAGGACAGGTTGACGAGTTTAGCAGTTACCAGGGAGGATGTTCTTAAACAAATAGTAAAACTCAAACCAAACAAATCCCCAGGGCCGGATGAAGTGTTTGCTAGGGTGCTTAAAGAATGCAAAGAGGAGCTTTGTGACCCACTGTCAACCATATTTAATAAATCAATAGAGTCAGGCAGAGTGCCAGAGTTTTGGAAAGTTGCTAATGTGATACCAGTTTTTAAGAAAGGAGATAGATCACTTGCGTCTAACTATCGACCAATTAGCCTAACGTCTATTGTGGGAAAGTTACTCGAATCTATAATAGCAAATAAAATTCGTCTTCATCTTGAAAAACATAAATTAATAATTGAGTCGCAACATGGTTTTATAAATGGCCGTTCATGTTTAACAAATTTGTTATCTTTTTATTCTAGCATTGTTGAGGCAGTTGATAGTGGTAAGGATTGCGATGTTGTATACCTTGACTTTAGCAAAGCTTTTGATACAGTGCCACATGAAAGACTGATTAAAAAAATAGAGTCTCATGGTATTGGGGGTGCTATATTAAGCTGGATTAGGGCATGGCTATACCAAAGGAAACAGAGAGTTAGTATAAATGGAATCAAGTCAGAGTGGGAAAATGTTGTAAGTGGAGTGCCTCAAGGCTCTGTCCTGGGACCTCTGTTGTTTATAATATATATAAATGATTTAGATTCAGGTTTGAGTAGCAACATTTGCAAATTTGCCGATGATACGAAAATCGGTAGGGAAATTAATTCGGAGGAGGACTCACTATCACTTCAAGTTGATCTAGATAGGGTTTTGAAATGGTCAAAGGATTGGCAGATGCAGTTTAATGCTGATAAATGTAAAGTTCTGAGGTTAGGTAATGATGATAGAGTTACAAGATACGAGCTAGATGGTGTTGTGATTGCGAAGTCGGATTGCGAAAGGGATCTGGGAGTTATGATTAGTAAGAATTTAAAACAAAAGGATCAATGCATAAATGTTCGTAATAAGGCAAATCGGACACTTGGATTTATTAATCGCAGCGTTAGTAACAAGACACCTGGTGTGGTTCTCAAGCTATATCTTGCTCTAGTTAGGCCCCATTTAGATTATGCAGTTCAGTTTTGGTCGCCATATTATAGAATGGATATAAATTCACTTGAACGTGTCCAGCGTAGGATGACTAAGTTAATTCCCCAAATTAGAAATCTTTCATATGAAGAAAGATTAACAAAGCTTAAGTTGCATTCACTGGAAAGGCGAAGAGTTAGGGGTGACATGATAGAGGTTTACAAGTGGATGAATGGACATAACCGGGGGGATATTAATAGGGTATTAAAAGTATCAACACAGGACAGAACACGAAACAATGGATATAAATTGGATAAGTTTAGATTTAGGAAAGACTTGGGTAAATACTGGTTCAGTAACAGGGTTGTTGATTTGTGGAACCAATTACCGCGTAACATTGTGGAGGTGGGGTCCCTCGATTGTTTCAAGCACGGGTTGGACAAGTATATGAGTGGGATTGGGTGGTTATAGAATAGGAGCTGCCTCGTATGGGCCAATAGGCCTTCTGCAGTTACCTTTGTTCTTATGTTCTTATGTTCTTAAACTGACCTCACACGGTGAGGTGAAAGGTCAGTAGAACTCCCAGATGCAATTCTTTTAACCATGTCGTGGCACAGTTGATTAAGGCGCGTCTGGGATCCTCTCGGACGTAGGTTTGAACCCTCATCACGGCCCTTTATGGATTTGTTCTCTACTACCATACTTTTCCGGATATCCTTAAAAGAGCAAGAGTAACTCAAGTTCATAAAGGTGATACAACTGATTAAAACAATTACAGACAATATCAAATCTACCGATACTATCAAAAATATCTGAAAAATCTATTTACAAATAGCCCTTGTAAAATTCAATAAACTAAGAAGGCACAAAGCCGATGCAACATATAGTCCCCTGCTAGATTGACTTGCAAATGTGCACCAATAATGCCATTATTAGTTTGCTTGATATAATCTACACAGCCCTTGACAAAAATGATTTCCCAACAGTATATGGCCTCTTTATTGACGTGAGAAAAGAGGCCATATACTGTAATACCATAACTCCCTATTGCTTGAACTTCATCACTATGGAATCCGAGGCCTCGCTCTGAGTTATAATCTATCATATCTTCATGACAGACAACAATACATAGCCATTAACGACATAACCTCCTCTACTCTACCCTTAACTGTATTAGTGCCACCGGGCAACATCTTAGGGCCTCTCCTATTTCTTATTTTCTGTCTTGGTGATTCAAACAAGCTATAGCAATGAACAAATCCACAAGGGTCGTGACGAGGATTCAAACCTATGTCTGAGAGCATCCCAGATGCTGCCTTAATCGATTGAGCTACGACATGGTAAAAGAGTTGAATCCAGACGTTCTACTGAACTTACTTGGATCCTGCAGCCTCTCCGAGACACAAACCAGGGTTTTACACAACTCCCCCATGCACTCGAGCTATGTCAATAGGCCGTTCTACCTTTTCGCCCTTACTTCATTACACACAGAAATCACAATGAATCACAATGAAAGAGAGGCTGCAGGATCCAAGTAAGTTCAGTAGAACTTCTGGTTCTACTGACTAGGGGTAACTGGCCAGGAAGCCAGGTGCAGAACACATGCTGTACTCACACCAACCTCTGACCAGAAAGAACATGGCAAGGGTAGGCATAAGCAGTGAACACAACAAGAGCGTCTGGCTATCTGTTTATAATGGATAACAATTCCTTACCTGGTTGCTCTGTGTTAGCTGCTATGTAATAAAATACAGTATAATATTGTGTCTCACAGTCAATCAACTCTGAAGTAAAGACAAAACATTGCATGGCCTGCCTCCAAGTGTTAAGAATCAAATCAATATCAACATTGAAAATATTAGATCCCCATAAAAAAGTCTAATATATTTACGTAAGAGAAACGAACTTTATCACAAGTCTGTCACTAGGCATAGTCACCTAGATCACATCACCGAAAGTCATCAAAATATACATATTATGCAAGGTTAAGAAAAGGGGTTCTTATTTTGACATTTATACTCTTATTTCTTCTATACCCAGTACAGTATATGTATTTTTCATATATGAAAAAAAGCAAGCATATAATTAGTTTATATAATCATGCCAGAATCAGGCTAAGCCTACATAGCTATTACCACTTACAACAATGTTTATGTTGTGAGAGGTAATTAGCACACCAGGTATAAACAGCTAGGAGGCATGGCATAGATAGCTAGATCTCACTACCTCATAGTCATTGACAGGCAAGATATACACAACAAATTATTGGTCAAAACTAGCAAATGCAAGTGATGCCATGGACAGTCAGGTAAGTACAGTAGCCTATAAAGAAGGCAGTAGCATGGTGTGGTGACCATGACGACGACGAACCAAAAATTCACACTTACTTCATACATCATTGACGAGCTAAACATTTACCACAAGTATTCAATCTTATTTTTTGTCTAATAAAGTAGTAATTTAAATTCATATAGTAAATTGTGGAAGTGTAAAAATTTCTGTACAATTCATAAGGAATAATTTTAATATTGATACTCATGTCAAGAATGCAAACATTTAGATATTAATCAATCTATTACCCACTTATGGAAGCAAGAGAGGGGAAGGGAGAGGAGAGGGATAGACAAAGACAAATTGGTAGACAGACATAGACACAAATGACCACATATGGTTCAGGTAATGAACCACCAGGAAGAAGTCAGAATGGAGCCAGAGGAGGGAGCCCAGGGAAAGGCAAACTCTCCAAAGGGCCTGCCAGTCAAACTCATGCACCATACTGTGCGCCAGATGGAGTAGTGGACATGACCGCAAAACCCGGAAGGTCTGGTAAGCGCAGGTCACAAGGCCCCGATCCAGAGCCACTTCATCTCTAAACACATCAAGTGATGGGGAGGACGGCATCACTAAACAGAATCCCGAAGAGCATGAAGAGGAAGCCAACAGAGCAAGAGCCAATAAAGGACAAGCAGGGCCTGAACCCATTGGACACAGAAGTGACAAAAAATGTTCATTACTGGAAGAAACAGGACAGTGAATAGAGTCAAACCCTGTCTGGGTGAAACATCACACTACCACTTGACCAACAATGAACCACCTGGGCCAATCCAACACCAGACAGTGATGCCGATGCACTGCAGAGAAAGACATGCAGACTGGGAATCCCAAATTAGACCCAATCTAGTCCGATGGTTCTGGATGGAACCAACTGGGACTTTTGCCAGTTCACCAGGAACCCAAACCTGGCAAGTAGGGAAAGAACTGGATTCCTAGACAGCTGACACACAGACTTGGTGGGGGGTGGGGGGAAGACTCTCACCAGCCAGTCATTGAGGAAGGCCAAGATACGAATTCCCAAAACCCGCAGCTAGGACACAACTATCTGGGCTAACCTGGTGAAGATCTGAGGAACCAGACTGAAGCCAAAGGACAGAACCTTGAAGCGATAAGCCTGATGCCCCACAACAAACTCTAACCAGTTCCAGAACCTCGGATGAATAGACATGCCAGGATGTGTCCTTGAGATCAAAGACACTATCCAGGAACCTACCTGTAATACCAGGAGAACCTGAACCAAAGTAGTCATGAAGAAGGTCAGAGGGGAAATGAAGCTGTTCAGTCCCAAGAGGCCAGAAAGTATAATAGCTCTTGAGACCTCAAACTTCAAGACAAGAAATCATAGATTTAAGCTAACTGACAGATAACATTAGAAAGTTCACTTTTGGAGAATGGTAGATGGTTGGAGCAAGTTAAGTGAGAAGATGGTGGAGGCCAAAACTGTCAGCAGTTTCGAAGCATTATATGACAGTGCTGGGAAGATGGTACACCACGAGCATAGCTCTCACCGTGTAACTACACCTGGGTAATTACACTAGGTACTCTAGGTAATAACACCAATCACAAACAATTAGAATGCCCCCAGCCAAGGGTTCCACTGAAGAGTTAACAATTCATGCTCTGCCCAAGGTAAGGCTATCAACCTCAGTGGTCAAGCCTCTCGGTGGCAAACTCCTGAGCACGAGAGAAGCGACTGTCAGTGCAAGGGGCCGTGCTAGACGAGTCTAACAAAGTCACCATAGACCAGCGTTTCTCAACCAAGGTTCCAGGGTTTCTAACACACTATAATGTTATAATTCATATTATTATTATTACAACATATAAATATTATAATAATTCATCTGCGATATCATTGTCAGTGATTATTTTTTGTAATTAATATACATGTACTGGTATATATATATTTTGAGAGTAATAAATTCAAATTTTTTTATTAATAACTATATATACTGTATATTACAGTATAATAAATTTTATGCAGAGCTTCATTAAGTCATGAAAATTATTTCAAGGGTTCCTCAAAGATAAAAAAAGGTTGAGAAATGCTGCCCCTAGTCATATGCTGCTCAAATTGAAGAATATGAGTCCATGCAAGAATGCTGGTAGATAAACACGTGCATGTGAAACAAATACTATGAGTATGGAATGAAAAACAAGCAAATGTCCCACTGCAGGACAAAGTCCAAAGAATGGCCTGAACTTAGCTGAGAAAGAGGTGGGGAAGGGGGGGGGGGGAAAGGCCACTATGAAGAGGTGACCTGGGAAGCATTTCTACACAAATCGATATTAGCAACAGGACTAACCAGTAGCCAGCCGTTAACTGGGAGCTACGGGTCACCTGGTGGCAGCCATCTGCACTATTGAGTTCAAGTTAGTTTCAAGTCAACCAATAGTTTTTTATGAATCATTTGCAGAGCCATTTGACTTTCGTTGCTTCATTTTCTATGAATCTTGCAGTTATCTGCATTACTTTGCTGACTTTTTGGTTCTTTCCCCAGTGTGGGTGATTGTAACAACGCAGTTTTTGCACCTCTGTGAGGGAGGAGGGGGGGCCAGATTCTGGCTCTAGTCTATGATAAACAGGACTCCCATGACTGATATGACCCAGAAATATGCATTGCACAAAACACAATCATAAAGCAGAAATAAAATAATGGCCCCCCTAGCACAACAATCATTCCAGGAACAGCCACCACTACTTAGCTTAATGCATGGAGCAATAGGAGGGCCCAGTCAGAATACTGTAGTGTGACTGGAGTCACTACAAGTGTGAGTGAGGTGGAAGGTTTGCTTCCACCTTCAGGCGACCTGGGGTGCCAGCTGGTGGCAGTTGGGTATAAATGCATGGCAACCTTCATTTGCCATATCTACCTCAGGGTTACTGTTTTCTTGCAAGCAGTCACTTTCATTATGCCTACTTTCTGCAAGATATTTATTGGTTTTGGGCATAACCAAGAAAATTTATTCTTGATTAACTGAACTTATTTTGTTCAGGTAGGTTTATATTGTTTAGATCCCATAGCTTGAAGTTATCTTCATGCTCCTCAGAGAGAGAAGCATCTTCTCTCCTCAGAGAGAGCTAGATTCTGGTTGCTGGTAGACTAGATAAGTCTCAGAAACCTTGTATGAATTCCTGAGGCTTGGCACTATCAAGAGCTTAAGCTCGGGAACTGAGATTGAAACTTAAGCCGAGGTTTCCTGAGCTTTAAAGGACAGATAAATAGATAATAAAGGTACACAGACAAAAGAGAGACATAGCACTTATGTGAGAAGCTGACTGGAGGTAGTCATGACCTGAGTAGCATCTGTTACTTAATTACCACCTCCACATTTTTTTGAAGCTGCTGTTCAAGAACTCTTCTCCGAGTCTCGTGTTAGCACTGATTTTGCATCACATGTTTTTTCTTTAATGAATATGTGACATCTTAGCACAGACGCCATATAATAATGGAGGCTAATTTGAGGTACAACAACTGCTAGCTGCAATCCTAGAATGAGTAGGGATGCCACTGAACACCAAAAATCATATTTGTAAACAATAAAATGATAAAAATTAATAGAGATCCCAATAAATAAATGAAATTTTAATAACTAGTTATACATAAATGTGAAAATGTGAATTGTTTGAAGAACATTGGGCTCCCAAGCTCCACCAGGAACATTGCGTAAACCCTTATATGACTTACATTTTCAAAGCACACGTAGGGCAGATATGGGGTCCATATATACAGTACAGAAATTTAGAGGTAAATATAATTTGTAAATTATATTTATATAGTTGTAAATTTACAATTATAAATATAAAATTTTATTTACAATTGTAAATTTATTTACAATTGAAAGTATTTTGTTTGTTTATTTTATGGATCAATTATCTATCTTGTGAGCGGTGGGGAAAAGACTATAGTCACATAATGGGTTCAAAATTTTAACTACAATGTTCTTCAAGCCACACAATTTACATTTGTGGTAAATTGGTTACATTGATAATTAAGCGAATAGTTACCATCACCATAATTATTACTACTAATACTTTATGTAATTGGAACAAGGAGGCATAAGGAAAGATTCTTATTCTTAATATACTTTAAATAACATGTTATCAAGGCACTAAAATACTTAACAATTATGATGTGTTTTGTCTTATCTCACGATAAAACTCAAATGGTATATTAACGGCTTGTCAGCGTGGCCTTCGTTTGCCAGTGACTAGCGATGCTCCTGGGAAACGTCACACATTTCTACCTGCACTTAAAACTTTTCCATTCAGTCCTTGGATGCTTATACAAAATCAAAACTGAAATGCTGTGCATGTTAGTGGCTTTGCAAGAATGTAAAAATACCAATATTATGTAATCTCACAAACCCATTGTACCTTCTTGTAAATAAATCATTATTATTACTAAAACTATTAAACCTAAAGAGTTTGTAAGTAAATTTGAAAGTAAATATAATATTGATATGGGGGTTTTTAAGGATGGCTTGACTTCCGGGTGTGCCACAGAATTGGGAATGAACATTTTTTCATGAAACACATGAAAAGTTCATCCTGAATCTTAAAACTTATATCCAGCTTTTAAATCCATCAATTCCTTATTAACTTCTTTAATAGTTTGTATATGGTAATCCCTTATATGATACTGTAAACACAAAAATTCAATGTTTTGTGTTTACTGGAAATTTTATAGTCCCTGCTGAATTTCCGCAACCATAGGGAATAATGTATTAAATGTTTCATTGGCTTACAAGGCATTTTGAGATGCTACTTTACAAATATTCCATAACTTACACAGTTGCTGTTGATGTTATGAGTGCCCATAATATAGAATACAATCCTGCTGAGCAAACACTGGCCTCATCCAGCAGTAATCATTTCAGAGTCAGGTCTCAGCACGATTAGCAAAGCCTACCCCATTGAAAGACTAAACCATCTGTGTATACATAAATAAAAATTGCATCATGTTGAATAGATTTTACAGAAAGATATCAGAGACCTGCATTTTCTGGAAATGCATTAGTGTTCTGTAGAATTTAATTGATGGGATCACCCAAAGTGGTATAACACTGTAGTGAAATGAAAGGTTTTCAGAAACTAATTGAATAGATTGCATGTATTTTTTGGGTTCTTAAGTGTTGATGTCCAGACTGTGTATTAGTGATGCAACGTGTTTACGTTCATATAGTATCTAAGACAATGATTTCCTCCTGTCATAGGATGGAATTCCACCTATACTGGCAGCCATAATTAATTTATAACAAATATTATAATACGTAGTCTTCATAACACTGTTTTCTGAACTCCAATGTGACAAAATCTTGGAAAAAAGATTCAGATCTTTTGAGGACAATTTTCAGATGCTGAATGTTGTTCCAAGTGATTTTAGCATCAAATATTATTCAGAAATTTATTTGTTTTTTATTATGATTTATCTAGGTGATACAGAGGTTCACCTAATTTATGCCATTTGATGAATAATGCCACATGTTTTGTTTACCAAGAACTTGATACCATAATCCTATATCTACTGGGCAGCTAAACTGTATCTTCAACTTTCTTTAATGTATTTCCTTCATAACTAATAGAGGTCATCCACATACATTGTGTTGCACACGCATGTTGGAAGTATGTGTGTGTGTGTGTGTGATGATATACTAAAATGAAGTATAGTACTGTGTGCTGCACTTAGTAGGTTACATTCATTGTGGGATCTGTACTAGAGTAGGCATTTTCTACTCTTGCCTAAAATGTTGTCTTTTAAAATTCCCCAGAAACTTACATAAATTAGTACCTGTATGTTATAACACCAAGCTGTATCAAATGCTCAGTAAATTAGTATGTTATACTCATCAAAATAATTTTCAAAGTCAAATAGAATCCAATACCTCTTGTACGTATCTATGGATTTTTGTGCAGCTACAGTGCTTTTCATTTCATGTGCCCAAACTGTGATGTACTTAGGGCTGAAGTAATTATTTGTTACTTAGAAATTCCAAGATAATTGGTCATCCTTGGACTCTATGAGTCTAAGAATTGGCAGAAGTTATACCCAGTTACATCTTTGCTACTCTTTAAACATACAAACCTAGCAAAAATAGAAACAATTTAGTGTTTTACATATACTGTAGTGCACATGAAGTGTGTAACATCATATTTAATTCTGGGGTAATTTATGGATGCTTTTGTCTTTGACTGCTAGATGGAGAGAGTCTTTTCCTTGGATATCAATCAAGAAAAACCAAGTGATTTAGAATTTTTAAGAAGCATTCTGGGAGACAAACATCTTACCAAGGTAAGTCAGTAATTATAAAAGAAAGGCACCAAGCCAGGGAGGCTATGTAGCACCGTCAAATGTGCGGGATATTCAAATATTGTATCACTAAGGATGCCAAACAAAAACAAAAACAAAAGCACATAAGGTGAGCAACATCAAAGGCATCCAATTCACCAAGGATTTAATCGAGGGACAGGTGACCTCGAGGGACAGTTGGGAAGCAAGACGCACGCACAACCTGGACATCTTACCAAAGAAGACATTTTGAAAGTTCTTTTGAAAGTATTGAAAAAATGGTAGTTTCATCAATACAAGAACATGTTTTGTATTTCATTAAGGCACACCAAACTCTTATGAATACTCCTCTGCATCAGCTCTCTCAAGTTTTTCTAGTGGGTTCTCTTCTGCATCAACTCTTTCAAGTTTTATTAGTGGGTTCTCTTCTACATATACTCTCTCAATTTTTACTAGCGGGTTCTCTTCTACATCAACTCTTTCAAGCTTTATTAGTGGGTTCTCTTCTGCATCAACTCTCTCAAGTTTTACTAGTGGTTTCTCATCTATATCAACTCTCTCAAGCTTAACTAGTGGGTTCTCTTCTGCATCAACTCTTTCAAGTTTTATTGGTGGGTTCTCTTCTACATAAACACTCTCAATGTTTACTAGTGGGTCCACTTCTATCTCAATTCTCTCAAGCTTTACTTGTGGTTTCCCTTTTTTACCAACTTTCTTAGGTTTTACTAGTAGTTTCCCTTCTGCATGAAGTTTCTCATGTTTTACTAAATGTGATTTCTGTTTAAAATCTCTTTGACATACTGAGCACTGATATGGTTTCTCTCCTGTATGAACTCGTGTGTGTTCTACTAGTGTATCTTTTCTCGAAAATTCTTTTAGACACACTAAACACTGGAATGGTCTCTCTCCTGTATGAATTCTCATATGTTTTACGAGATGTGATTTATGTTTCAAGTCTTTTTCACACACCGAACACTGATATGGCTTCTGTCCTGTATGAATTCTCGTGTGTTTTACCAAATCTGATTTATCTGGAAAGTCTTCTGGACAGAATGAGCACTTGTAGGGTCTCTCTCTTGTATGAACTCTCATATGGATTACTAAATTTGATTTAGCTGCAAAGTCTTTTGGACACACTGAACATTTGTAGGGTCTCTCTCCTGTATGAACTCTCATATGTAGTACTAGATGTGATCTATCTGAAAAATCTTTTGGACATAATGAACATTGATATGGTTTCTCTCCTGTATGAACTCGGATATGTTTTGCAAGAACTGATTTATCTGAAAAGTCCTTATAACATAATGAACACTGGAATGGTTTCTCTCCAGTATGAATTCTTGTGTGTATTATTAGGGTATCTTTTCTCGAGAAGTCTTTTAGACACACTAAACATTTAAAGGGTCTCTCTCTAGTATGACCTTCCATTTGTCTTAATACTAATTGCTATATTTAACAAAACCTGAGATAAATTTATTTTACATGAACAAATGTGAATTCTGGTAATTTTTTTCACAAATGCTTAAAGTTCCCTAATATTCACTAAACAATACTTTTTGTAGAATTTACTCTAAATGTCAACTATTTCTTACATAATTTGATCTGTATATCTTATTGTTTAAAAATTCTAAGATGTTGAACACTGATATGGATTTTCTTCAACAAATCCACTAGGGCCGTGATGAGGGTTCAAACCTACGTCTGAGAGGATCTCAGACACTGCCTTAATCAACTGAGCTACGACTTGTGGATTTTTTCATTTGATGCATCACCCGATTGTGATTTGTGTGTGTAATGGATTTTCTTTATTGTGCACTCTGTATTCACAAAGAAATGTGAATGAAATGTTGTGTTGCAACCACACAACAAAATCTTCAAATTATTTTTCTATTTGACAATCAGCTATGTAATATTAACACTTGACTGTGCAATCAATACGATTCACTGAAATTTATAATTTTTCATTTTAATTTCAAACTTATCAATAATACAAGTTTAAATCATGCTCTAAAGTTCGTATAAATGAGAATGGAAGAGCCTTATAAAATGAATACTCAAATACATTCATTTAATCACTCAAATACATTCATACGTAATTTTCACTTACGTAAACGTCATGATATTGGATTTAGCACTGCAAATTTCTGTTTAGTGAACCTTATAAGTTGTGATACTCGGTGTTGGCAGAGCAAATGCAATTTCTCTGCACCAGGAATTATCTGCAAAAGAAATGAATGGGAGATTAACAGGGTTTGAATTAAATATGCACCAAATTTGGGATTTTGAGAGTTACATGGGTCAATTCTCCTACAAGAGATGAACAGCAATCACTTGGGAAAGCAAAGTCACTCACCAGATGAGCCGGTCAGCCGAGCGGACAGCACGCTGGACTTGTGATCCTATGGTCCTGGGTTCGATCCCAGGCGCCGGCGAGAAACAATGGGCTGAGTTTCTTTCACCCTATGCCCCTGTTACCTAGCAGTAAAATAGGTACCTGGGTGTTAGTCAGCGGTCACGGGCTGCTTCCTGGGGGTGGAGGCCTGGTCGAGGACCGGGCCGCGGGGACACTAAAGCCCCGAAATCATCTCAAGATAACCAAGATAACCAGTAAAAGTTAAAATTTACCTAAGGCAATGCAGTTAGTAGTAGATATTTTAATAGTATGATTTGAATGTGTATATACAGTAGTATACTGCAAAAGATTTTGCACAAAATAGTGTTAATAATATTATTATTCCAAAGGATTTTGATTGTTTTCCTGTTAATGTTAATGTTTTTATTCCAAAGAATTTTGACCACAAGGATGCTGAAGTTGCAGTGTCTGCACCACCTGTTACTATAAGTTCCCACTGCCTTAATTGTGTTCATATTGCCAATCTGGCCTTTTCAGAATCAATGCTGCTTAAAAAACCAGCGTTGAATGTAATGAAACGCCATTTTCTGGGCGAGTACCGGAGGCTCCCCGGAGCTATCCATGGCTGATATGGATACCCTAACTATTTTGCATCAGTCGATGTGGGTGGAGTTCTAGGCCTACCGGGGACCACAAGCCAGAACCTGCCCCCCTCAGAGAGGCACGGGAAGCAATGGCCCATAGAAATGCACATGTGATTTGGAGCATTCTATATCTGCCATCGACCGGGACAGGCACCCAGAAAGGTAAGCGCCACAAAACAAACCCCTATTCTGGTTAAACAACAAAATCAACAAACGAGTGGACAGAACTCCCCCAGGAAAACGAACTAACAAGCATGACGTCACGCGAGCCGCGCCGCATGTCTGCGCAGCTCCCCCCCTTCCCGGGAGGGGGAAGGGGGGAACCCCAGACCCCCGCGCCGGCGATCCCCGCCCCAGTTCTGAGGCTGGATATCAAAACCGTGAAAAACCCGCCGACCGGAGGGCGGGAGGGTGCCGGGGAGCCTCCGGGACTCACCCAGAAAATGGCGTTTCATTACATTCAACGCTGGTTTTCTGGGGGGAGCCCCTACGGTTCCCCGGAGCTACCTCACCAAAGACTACCTAAAAGACAAGGGGACATACCCGGGAGGCGGTACGAGAATCACTCCACAACACAAAGTCGAGACAACAACCCAAGGTATAGCATTCGCCAAAAAAAGGGGAGAACGGCCGCAGACGAAGAAAACCTATGATCACGACAATAGGAGCCAAAAACCACTGCGCCTGAGCAGAGCAAGAAGCTCTACCACCCGGCCCCCAGAGGCGAATGCCAACACAAAAAGAAAACCGAGGCAAAGCAAACCTGACCCCAAGGAGCCACAACCACCAAGGAGAAAAAAAACAGGAGAGCACCCTGTCCAAAGACCAGGACGACACAGACAGTGCATAAGCAGGCCGGAGGTGTAACAACGCACGATACAACCTGCGAACCGGCGCAGAAGGAATATCGATACCGAAAGCTAGCAGCAGAAACCAAGGTGCCAGACCCAGGAACAGCCCCAAGCGCCTCTACATCCTTCGCAAGCCAATCCGATGACAGCCCCAGGAGGGAAAAGAAAACGCAGGACCAAAACGAAAATGCCACAAGTGTGCAAGACCACCTCCACAAGTGCAGCTGACAGGGAAGGAACTCGCATAAGGAGCCGCCCCGCACCAACATCCCGCAGAAGGGCAGGAGCGAAAAGACTCATTAGGAGGAGCAAAATCGCTCCCAGGAAAACTAGGAGCGCCGAGACAGTGTGAAGAGAAGAGATATTCACAAAAGAACATAAAGGCCAACACCCAGAAGCTGCTGGGAAGAGGACCCACAAGCCCTAGAAAGGACCGGAGGGAAGCTCAACCAAATGACAACAGACGCACCAGAAAATGGGAAGGAGCAAAACAGTCCCGAACCTTCGAGAACAAAAAGAAGCAAACACAAAGGACGAAGGCCCCAAAACCCCGTCGCACCCGAGACCAAAAGTTATGCAGAAACCCCAAGAAGAGGGGGACATGACGGAAGAAGGCCCGTCCTGGAAAAAGGGGCGAAGATCGTAGAAAAGCACCCACCGACAGGACGGAAACAACGGGTACAACGGACAAGGAAACCGAGCCCAGGGAGGGGCCGACGCCCACAAAGCACGTGCGGAGAGGGGGAACGGAAAACCCCACACCACAAAACTGCAAGTCCCCCCCAGAGGGTTAGAAACACCCCGGCGGGGACCAACGGGGCCTGAGGCCTCTCACGTGAGCCCCACCTCAGCCCCGGGAACCCACCCTGCAGTCCCCGGGGCCGAGCTGTCCCCTCAAAGCCCCAGCGTCAAGAAAATCCCGGGGCAGCCATGAAAAACACGAAGGAAGGGAGCCCACTAGGCTCTGGAACTTGAACCGAAACCGGAGGATAGGTGAGGGGCGAGATGAAGACCCCAAGCTCATCCCCAGCCAGCACAATGAGGCGAGGACAAGACAGTGAAACCAAGGAACATGGAAAAACCAGGCCCTGCACGGCAAGACCGGCAAGGAAGGAGAGCCCCAGAGGGAGCACGGAAGGGCCGAACATAACGCCACAACCAACCCCGACACGCAGCTGCAGTACCAAACCGCAGCAAAACGTCACCACACTCCCCGAGGAAGCGACAGAGAAGATAGATAAATCGTACACGAGTGGCACACAAGGGGACATAGGTGGAAACCGAGCACCCAACTGAGCCACAGGGACGGTAGAAGAAACGTGTGCAGTGTAACAGGCAATCAAAGGAACACATTAGGCAACCCAACATGGGCAGACCCCATACACAGCCCCAAGAGCAGAGAGGAGAGTGCCCAAGAAGCACAGAATCCGCCCGACAGGCAGAACCCAACCTGCAAACACAAGGAGGCGAACACAAAACCTCGGACACAGGAAAACGTACAACCAAACAGGCACCCCACCGTTGCACTGCGGAACAAGGTGGAGGCGGGGCCCCGAACTCAAGCAAGGTTAGACAAGCATAGGAGAGGGGCAGGAGGAGTACAGGCAAGAACCGCCTCTGAAGGGACAAGAGGCCACCCACAGACACCCGTGAACCGAGGAAGGAATCAGGTGGAGAGAACAAGAGCTGCCCAGTATGGGCTAATAGCCCTGCCGTAGGCACCTCGGGTGATATGGTCCACGTTCTCAAGTATGTATGTACACCCATTCCTACTACCAAAAACAAAAACAGCGTCAGGACGAAGAAGACACCAAAACCGCACCAACTCACCTGCAGAACATAGGCCCTGAAGGGCCATGACGCAAGCGTTCGAGTCCGTATCCGCCGGAGGCGGCCAGTGCGCCCACGCTGGAGAGGATGGGAGCAGCGAAGGAGGCTCCTCACCCTAGAACGCAGGGAAAAACCTCATGAATTCCACACAGCGGCACCCCAGAACACCCCCAAAGCAACGGGGCACGGATGGGAATAAGAAAAGAACGAGAGGCGAAGCCCCCCCCCCCCCCGAGAGAATTGGAGCAGAACACGTGTGCACACCGCCCGGAACCAAAACAAACTCCCACGGCGCATGCGCAGGACACGAAAGAAAGTAGCCCAACCAGGCGCGAAGTAGCCCAACAAGGCGAGAAGTAGCCCAATAAAGCGAGAAGTAGCCCAACAAGGCGAGAAGGAGCCCAACCGGCTACAAAGGAGCCCAAACGGCCACAAAGGAGCCCAAACGGCCACAAAGGAGCCCAAACGGCTACAAAGGAGGCCAAACGGCGACAAGGAGCCCAAACGGCGACAAGGAGCCCAAACTGCTACAAGGAGCCCAAACGGCTACAAGGAGCCCAACCTGTCCAGAACAGAAGGAACCAGTAAGGAGGCAAACTCCGGGACACACAGGAGGAAGCCGCAAAGGCCAACCGCACCGCAGGCAAAGAGATGCGGTTAGCCGAAAACCTCCTGAAGACGGAACCGAAGAAACTACAGGGACACGGAACCGAACCCGGGGAGGAGCAGAACCCAAGCCCAAATCGTACGCAGAGGGGGGGAAAGAAAACCCCACTCCTCGTAACAGTAAGCCCTGCTCAGAAGGACTGAAATCCAGGCGGGGCGCAATGGAGCCCAAGGCCCCCAAGGCGGCTCCTCCCCAACCCCAGGAGCCTCTGCACCAGACCCCGGGGCCGAGTCGACCTCCAAAGCCCCGGCCTCACAAGAAAAAGCCGGGGCAGCCGAGAGAGCTGAAAGAGAAGGTGGCCCACTGGTCAAAACCCCGGAGCATCGGCCGGAGGAACAGACTCGAATGCCTCCGAAGCTACCCCGGACGGGGCAACCCCCGAAACTGCCCAAGTCTCAGAACCTCTAACCCCGCCCCGACCCCGAAGCCTGCAGATGCGTAGGGGCCGGAAGCAGGAGGGGGAAAAACAAGGGGGGCGTGGAAGGAACCAAGGCCGAAGCGATCAAAACCACCCAAGTCTGGGTCCCTACACAAGCGGGGCAGCATCGGGGCGTCCGGGGAAGCGACAAACCAGAGCGCGTTGCAACATCCTACCCTGCAACGCGCGAGCTGCCTGCACCCACGGGAATTCATCAGCAGACTGGGTGAATGGAGTCACGAACAAGCAACAAAGCTCGCAGGACTCAAGGGTCGAATGTGTCACCGACCCAACAGGCAGCATGACAGAGGCAAAAACAAGGAGAGTCACCCTGAGACAAAGGGACAGAGCAACCCTCAACTTGCACAAAGCGAGAGGGGACGCAAGTGTCTCCACTATCGGACCCGAGAGCCCCCGGGGGGTTTCCCAGGGCCCCTAGACTGGGTCTGCTAAGGG